TATCCTCAAAGGGGGTTAAAGTACTGTAAAAATATTGTCCTCCTGAGAGGATACGTAAGTCCCAAAACATTCAAGCTAAATTTAAACCTACCACATTATTTAATCGTAGGATATATGTTATTCTAACTTATGGCTAGAGTTGTCTGCAATCGTTAACACCTGAAGGGATGGTGTAAATCCAACTAGGATCCATGCAGGTAGCAAAGGCACTGTAAGTCCCCATGGTTCCAGGTATGGTGATCAATCTTCAGTTGTTGGAGATATATAGCCCATTTTTATATTGTATTGTCCTTATATGAAATCCAATTTTAGAGAGAGATGCCAGTTTTAATTCTTGATACTGTGATAATCTAGTTGGTTTTACTGTCCTTTGTTGACAGGTTTTTATAATTTACATGTATTTATGGTGAATTTAAAACTTGTTTTAGTCACGATATGGCTGAAATATTGCCAATGTGACTTTACATCTTAACTCACTCACTCATTTATGGATTTCTCAAATAATTTCTATAGGCAGGGTTTAGCATGTCTGGTAGAAGATAGAATCAACTTATCCAAAATGACCAAATATCTCATTTTCTGATCTATAGAGATTATTATTAACCTCTTGTGTTTCCATATCATTAATATCATATATTAGGAATAAAATTGTATTATCTTGTGTTTCCAACCTTTGGCGATATATTAGGAATAAAAATTGTATTATCTGCGAAACACAAACACGAGGTTAATAATCTCTTTATCATATAATGTCATTCTTAAAATTACTCTAAAAAAAGAAACAAATCGTACATGAATTTATATGAAGAGAATCAAGCATTCGCGTAAGAATACTTAGCAGTACACCAAGGTGGAGGTCAATCATGACGGCGGCATATGGTTGTGACTAACAGTGCAAACAAAACTCATGCTTAAAATGAGATCTTTCTGTCTAAAAGGAACAACAAAACCGGGCAAGGTTTTCCTGGCAGTGTTTTTATTTTCATTGCGGGTAATCACCTCATCAATATCAGTTTCTGATACCTGACGGAATCGATTCGTCGTCTGCAATTGTGATCGATAGATCAAAATCCTTGGTTGGTACTTTTCTTAGACGATTGCCTTTCAGTGGTACCTCATAATCCGTACCTTCAATGTGAATGAAGTACTCCATTTCATGTTTTCCAAAGTCAATTACTGCAGTAACGACTCCAGAACCTCAGTCATCAATTCTTACAGAATCACCAATTTTGAGAATGGGGGCAGCCATGTTTGTTTACTAACAATGTAAACTCGTGACGACGTCATCAATGAAATGTTAAATGTTTTAGGATTCACATGGCGTGTATGGATTGACGTAATTTGCATAGTTATCAGATTTGGATACCAGGTTTATCAGATTGCTTTATTGCACCGATAACAATCTCCATTAGATGATAATAGTATTTTACGAAATTGAATTATCATTTCTGCATCAGCAGGTTGGTTACATAAGGATATGGATGATAGAAAATATTCATTGACACTGAAAGAACTTGAATTGGAAATGTTCATATCATATTCATATGTCATAGCACAGAATTCCCATCATACCATTGGATATTCCATGATCTACACAAAATATTACATCCAAATTCATCTGCAGTGCAAAGTAGAATCAACACTGAAAATGGTTTTAGAATTGGTTTCTGATATCCAAATTCCATTTTGAAATTAAGAATATCTCTGGTTATGATCACATACATATGTTGGTTGGAGATTCAAATGTATTGTGGAGGATATGATAAATTCCACTTAGCATGGCTGCCACTGCCTCACAAACCTGATCTTCTATAACTGGGACAACTTGTAATTTAGTATCAGGAATTTTCATCTGATGAGAGACCTCAGATAATGAAAGCTGTTATGACTATATTCATGCAGTTTTACCTTGTCCTACAGAATAAGGGTTCAACGGAACCCTCACCTAATAATTTCAAGGGTCCTTACTAGAAATATGAGGGTTCCTGTGAACCAATGACATGGTGTACAATATTGGACTGCAGGATTTAATTATTAGTTTAATTACAACAGCCTTATATTTCTTTTCAAGAAATTGATACAATGAATATTATTGTATAATGTTTCCTAATCCGGATTCATATTATTTGCTTCTTTCCCCTTTCAGCCCGAGATAACCATGGAAACCGCTGTTTCTATGTTCCCTAAGAACAGTAAAAACATTTCACCCCAACGCACCTCCTCTCGCAGATGCACACCAGCGTCCCTGTGAATGTGTGGTGACTCGTCACTGTCCATTTTAGCCCAAAACAGGATGGAATGTTGTCTAAATCCAAACTAATCCTCATTTATGATAAGTCATCCATCAAAAGTAATGGTTGGATTTCCTTCATATACCCTTAAGACATCATAACCATGAATTATTTTTCAAAATTTGTAATTAATTAACCAATATGATCTTTGTGAAAGCATGTGGGTCACAAGAAAACATGCTCTATCTGTAAATTTAGAGTCTCCTACCATGACACACACCATACCTGCTCCTCATGCTTCAATTACAACTGCAATTTAAGTTCTAAATGTAGTTTCTGAGCCCCCTTAGGGGACAACGATTTTGCAAATTACATGTACTTATTTGCTGTACAACTCAAAAGTATGGACAAAAAAATGGAAGAGGAACCAAGAGGACAGATCAGATCATATGAGTTCCACCTCAGCAGGTCTCACATTACTACGACGCCAAGAATTATTATCCTCTTGTCAATGGTTGGACCTCTACATGAAGCCCTTATTATATCAACCCTGGGGGCACCCACCATCTATGATGGTTTCATACATTGAACTTGGTGTTCTAACAGTTGATGCAAAAGACTCCATTTAAGAGTCGTTTCTCAGGCATCCAAAAGGCAAAGGACAGGAGGTTCACGTCATCAAAAGGGAGTAAGACCTTCTCATTTTGTGAGCCACAAAAAAATTCAAGGAGACAGTCCAGCAGAGGCAGGACTTTCAGAGATTACCGTTTTCGTCGCTGAAGGTCAGGTTGTGAACAATTGGTGCAATTTAATTCCAAGTCGTTCCCATACTGTAGTTCGAAGGCTGATAACGTATTGGCAGAATTGGGACATCTTACAAAACCGTATCAGATTTTCTAAAAGAAGGCTACAAGATAAAATTACAGGAAGTACCTCCTTTAACTGTAAACCCTTCAAGGCTACAATATTCAGAGAATCTGCTACCAAAGTTGTCAGAAGCAGTAGATTCACATCTCATCGAGGATGCAGTAGAGATCATTCAACCAGAAGATTTGACTCCGGGTTTTTACTCACCATTTTTTTTTTATACCCAAAAGGAATTCAAAGGAGAAGTGCCAATTGATACACAACATGAAAAAGTTCAACAAGGAGTATCTTCAAAAACCAAAAAAATTCAAGATGCTCCATCTACCAAATCTGAGGCGCTTAATAAAAGCAAGTGATTAACGTGCAAGCATAGATCTTCAAGATGCATATCTACACATACCCATTCATCAGAGATCCAGATGTTCCTACGATTCTTTTATCAAGGCCAGCACTACCAATGGAAATTTCTTCCCTTTGGAATATCTACAGCCCAATGGTTGTTTTCACGTGTGACAAAAGCCCATGCATAGTGACTTACCTTCACAAGAATGGGAAGATCTACAATATCTGGGAATCAGATTCCTTACAGTTGTTAACACAGGAATTGCATTAATTGCAAGTCTACCAGAGGATCAGATTCCTTACTGGACAAAAAGTTACCTACCACAGCTAGAATGTCAGAGATTCATGCCATCAGCTTAGGTCAAACAAGATTTGACACATGCGAACACGCTGCAGACCATCTTGGTCTCAGATGTGACTTTATAGCAAAGAACCAACGTCCAGGACAGCCTGACACAGTTTCACATCCCTGCTCTATCATCGGTACTTGGGGCAGAAGATACACAGAATTGATTTATCTTTGTGTCCTGTTAGAGCTTTGAGGGTTTATCTGAAGAGAACTTCCTTAAGAAGAAGGTAGTTTATTCCCTATATCGCCCAATATTTCAACAGAAGTCTCTAGAATGACTATCTTGTTCTGGATGGGAGCAGTGATTCTGAGAGCCTACAATGCAGCAGGACTGGATCCAGCAAGGGTCTCCAACCCACACGAAATCAGAGCAATAGCATCCACCCCAGCGCTACACGGCAACTGCTGGAAGTCAGATACTGTTTTCGCTAACCATTATCTCAGGGACTTCACCACACAAGATGTCGCGGATATACACTGTCCTATAACCAACAACTGAGAGTCCATGCCCCCTGGTTTTCTACGTAAATCAGAGCATGAGTGATATGATCTATTCTTAACATATGGATCGTCCCAAGACAAGCAGGAACTAGATTCCATCCGCGTCTTAAAATCCACGAAATCTTATGATGTACTTCTTTTTGAATAAAAAGAAGGTAGTACACCGTTCATCTACATCAAGAGGATTGAAGAGTTCCCAGGGGTTCAAATGAACAGTATTTATGAATCAGAATTAGGTGTCTGGCCCACCACCTTTCCAACGGATGCAAGCAAATAATATGAGTCGGGATAAGGAAAAATATGGAGGTTGTTTTTGGATAAAATGATATTTTATAGTTATCCTGACTCATAGATGCAATTCCCTCCCAACCATCCCAACTCTCCACTATTTTGGCATAAAAGCAACATTTTCGGCTTCAAAAATGGAGAGAATGACGAGTCACCGCACTTTCAGTTTCACGGGATTGCTGGTGCGTATGCGCGGGAAGAGGTGTGTTCGAGAGAGATGTTTTTGCTGTTCTTGGGGAACATAGAAACAGGTTTCCATGGTATCTCGGGCTGAAAGGGGAGAGAAGCAAATAATATGAGTCAAGATAAATGTAAAGTGTCATTTTCATCCAAAAGAATACATTATTATTCTGCATCCATGCTATGTATCTGTTTGTATGGCATATACATTTCTGTAATGTATAACATCTGCTGGTACACAGGTAGTAAAGAGGCTTAGCAGTGAGTATGGGAGCTTGTACACAGAGAGGAACCTGTGCATCAGCGGCACACACACACATTCTGGACCAGGAGGCTTCCACCAGTACCTGCTGTTTGAGATTACCTCCCTTGGATTTGTCAACCAGTCCTTCACAGCTCTGGTAGATGGCATTGTTGATGTAAGTATTTCTCTTTAACTGAGGTTATGAATGTTCAAGTGTGTAGATCCTTTATACATGCAGTTTTCAGTGATCCAGTGGAATACCTGCTACAGAAGAATACTCAGTCAGTTAGAACATCTAGACAGCTGCAGAACATCAGCTCTACCAATTTTATAAGTTATTTACATTTTTATATTACAAATATTTCACCATTGTTTCTTCTTACTTGAAATAATTGAATGGAAGAAAACATGTTTTTTGCTTGTTATCCTGCTAGATGGAACAACAGTTCCTGGTTATACTGAACATTTGTTGTACTGAGCAGACTAGATGAAAAATGTGGTAGATGTGTTTGTTCAATCCCTGTATTTCATCAGAGACCATATAATAAATGTATTATATGGTTTCTGATTCCATGTGTCTCCAGTTCTCATACATGTAATACTATGTAGCACTGGAGACCTTTCCTGACCCACAATCTCAAAACACTGGCTACCTTTCCTGTGGTTTCCTGTTCCCCTTCGTTGACTATGTGACCTGGATCCGGTTGTATCATTGCTTCATTAACTAATGTCAACATTAAACCCTAATGATACATTAAATCCTTAATGCATCATTAGTTAATGGCATCATTAAAAACGGTTGTATCAAACACTTATTAGCGTATCATTATCTAATGACGTCCTAATGTAAATATTGTCATTAAATCCGGGGATTCCCCTAATCTTTTCCCACAATTCCGTGCTGTAAACATGTAAGTGTTACTCTCAGTCGTCTGTCAAAATGGCATCTTTAGGGCTAAACCTCGCAACAAAAACAAACATTTCGACTGCTGTGAAGAAACACGTCTAAATAATTCTGAAGCGTCGCCGATAAACCTAGAATCGGTTGGGATGTTTTGGAAAATACCACGAACACCTGACGCAGCGAAGTGAGCTTTCCATCATATTGGATAGTGTTTACAAAATCAAGTTTCGCTAAGGCCAGTCATAGGGCGCCTATTACATCATGTATATTTCATATTCAGTTGTGACAAATGCATCGCTGAATTCCTCATACATTTTAGAATCAAATTCCAAATGGTCTTTGTCACTAAAACCAAGTGTCTAAGAAAAAGCGAAACATATTGGGTGTGAAAGCGGGGCGTTGTGCTCATTACACAGCTTGCTAGAAATATAAACAAAGCAAAAATCAGATTTTATACTGTGCAGCATTTTACGCAATTTTTAGACATCAGTTAGTCTATTAAGTAGCATGCATGAGCTCAATATTTTTAGAATATGCACGGAAAGAGTATCGTTAGCAAGAACTAGAAAACTTAAAACAGATACAATACTGAAATTTGATATATTCATACTAAAGTTCTGTGCAGCGTGGCCATGCATGCGAGGCATAAAATAATGGAGAAACGCATAGGCAATTATCGGCATTTCTGACTTTTTCAATGAAAACAATAAAACAAACAACCATACGCAGATAGTCAGAATGTTTCCGATTACTTACATCATACATTTATGGACAAAGGTTCCCTCGCCAAAATCGTTGGCACCCATATCCACGAAGCCGCCATTTCATGAGAAATCGGTCATCGGTAGTGATGTCATACATCAACATTGTTGGACATATGTGGCAATTTCTTTGAGGTGAAGGTCGGTTGAATAAGAGTAAACACAATCACACGTTCCTGCGGATTACACTTGTATTATTAATGTATACTTTGCATATCGTTCACATATGGTTTCATGAAACTAATTTCATTATCAACATTTAGTATTTTAAACCTAAGTAAAACTGACGTAATAAATAAAAATTATATATTTATTTCATGAAATGTATATATATGCACCGTTATTAAAGGATATGTTTTGTTCATTGAATTTGTTTATGTTTTGTTATAGACAAAACAATGGCGTATAATCATTGGCCAGGTGCGTTTGTCACAAATATTTTGAGTATCATTGTTTTCGATAATTCCGTGAACAAAACATCACGAAAATATTGTGTCCTTATTCACAGCAAATTCTCGCCAAGTGATCTGAGTTACAATGACTTAGTATTAAGCATACGGTGTGAGGCCCCTTATCTTTATAAGCGTGTGACCTTTATGTAGCCATTTGACGTCATAGGGGAAAATCCATTTTCAACACATATTGCGAGTCACTTTTAAGATTGAGTGTATAGCGTTATACATAAAGCACACAAACTAATTTAATACATACCTATGTCATTCAGGTATCAGGTAGAATTTTGTTAAGCTGAACACTTTCCGTAAAGATGCCAAATTGAAAATATAGTAGCACAGTACTTTTATCAGTGCAGGATAAAAAGCAGAGAAATTTACTGTTTTTAGCGATAGCAAAATTAGGAGTAACATTCAGCAGTGTCTACTTTTCAAACTGAATTTATACCATGAGATACGACATTTAATACTCTACATTTCTGTGTAATTTTATAGCTGTAGGTGGATCCAGTGCGGCGCAAACGAAATTAGGCGCAATGTTAACTTTTCCAGGAAGTTTAATGACGCTCTAATGATACCCCAGGACCTTCATTAAGTTAATGACGCACTAATGACAACAGAGCATCATTAAAACATTAGTACAACAGAATTTAATGATACATTAGTAAATGAACGTTTAATGGCACGTTAATGCTTCATTAAAGTTTGATACAACCGGGTCCTGGTTGATTACATGTCATCATACCCCTGATAGATGCAGCATGGGTTGACTCGGTGACCTGGTTGATTACATGTCATCATACCCCAGATAGATGCAGCATGGGTTGACTCAGTGACCTGGTTGATTACATGTCATCATACCCCAGATAGATGCAGCATGGGTTGACTCAGTGACCTGGTTGATTACATGTCATCATACCCCAGATAGATGCAGCATGGGTTGACTCAGTGACCTGGTTGATTACATGTCATCATACCCCAGATAGGTGCAGCATGGGTTGACTCGGTGACCTAGTTGATTACATGTCATCATACCCCAGATAGATGCGGCATGGGTTGACTCGGTGACCTAGTTGATTACATGTCATCATACCCCAGATAGGTGCAGCATGGGTTGACTCAGTGACCTGGTTGATTACATGTCATCATACCCCAGATAGATGCAGCATGGGTTGACTCAGTGACCTAGTTGATTACATGTCATCATACCCCAGATAGATGCAGCATGGGTTGACTCAGTGACCTGGTTGATTACATGTCATCATACCCCAGATAGATGCGGCATGGGTTGACTCGGTGACCTAGTTGATTACATGTCATCATACCCCAGATAGGTGCAGCATGGGTTGACTCAGTGACCTAGTTGATTACATGTCATCATACCCCAGATAGGTGCAGCATGGGTTGACTCAGTGACCTGGTTGATTACGTGTCATCATACCCCAGATAGATGCAGCATGGGTTGACTCGGTGACCTGGTTGATTACGTGTCATCATACCCCAGATAGGTGCAGCATGGGTTGACTCAGTGACCTAGTTGATTACGTGTCATCATACCCCAGATAGGTGCAGCATGGGTTGACTCGGTGACCTGGTTGATTACATGTCATCATACCCCAGATAGATGCAGCATGGGTTGACTCGGTGACCTAGTTGATTACATGTCATCATACCCCAGATAGGTGCAGCATGGGTTGACTCGGTGACCTAGTTGATTACATGTCATCATACCCCAGATAGGTGCAGCATGGGTTGACTCGGTGACCTAGTTGATTACATGTCATCATACCCCAGATAGGTGCAGCATGGGTTGACTCGGTGACCTGGTTGATTACATGTCATCATACCCCAGATAGGTGCAGCATGGGTTGACTCAGTGACCTGGTTGATTACATGTCATCATACCCCAGATAGATGCAGCATGGGTTGACTCGGTGACCTGGTTGATTACATGTCATCATACCCCAGATAGATGCAGCATGGGTTGACTCGGTGGCCTGGTTGATTGCATGTCATCATACCCCAGATAGATGCAGCATGGGTTGACTCGGTGACCTGGTTGATTACATGTCATCATACCCCAGATAGATGCAGCATGGGTTGACTCAGTGACCTGGTTGATTACATGTCATCATACCCCAGATAGATGCAGCATGGGTTGACTCAGTGACCTGGTTGATTACATGTCATCATACCCCAGATAGATGCAGCATGGGTTGACTCGGTGACCTGGTTGATTACATGTCATCATACCACCGATAGGTGCAGCATGCATGACTTAATGTTGCAGAGTATTCACATGGCCCACAACACAGTTCGTCCCGGCAACATCTTCATCAACAGCGGGGAACTACTGGAGTCCAACATCAACCGCAGCCCCTCTGCGTATGCCAACAACCCAGAAGCAGAAAGAAAGAGGTGAGACAAATACTCTCTCGGTGCAGACTCCAGGCATTTGCCTTTTGTCAAATATGCAATCACTCTTTTTGAATTAACTACCATGTACAATTCAGTACAAGAAGTCTGTTGACATTAACTGCCATGTACAGGGTCAGACATTGCTACAAGCCAGTCAGTCAGCTAGTACCATGACAGGTGATATCTGGTATCCCAAGACAACATTGCACAGAGTGAATGAGTAAGTTTAGTTTTCCGTCGACTCAGCAATATTCCAGCTTTATGGCGGCGATCTGTAAATAATGGAGTCTGGATCAGACAAACCAGTGACCAACAGCATGAGCATCGATCGACACAATTGGGATACGATGACATGTGTCAACCAAGTCAGCGAGTCTGACCACCCAATCATGTTAGTCGCCTCTTACGGCAAGCATGGGTTACTGAAGACCAATTCTAACCCACATCTTCACAGGTCCTTACACAGAAGTTAGAAATGAGGTGTGTGTGTGTGGATTAAACTGCTTTCCACCCCACCACTGCAGGTACAACTACAATGTTGACAAGAACATGACTGTCCTGAAGATGCTGGATGCTGATGGCAAGGACATTGGAATGATCAGGTCTGTTACTCAATCTCACCTTCAAATCTAACTCCAGTGTCCATTCACGCAATTCAAGGATAATAGTTGGAGACCTATGAATATGATAGTTGTTTGTTTGCCTTGAAATATTGGTTCTGTTTAGCTGGTTTGCTGTGCACGGTACAAGTATGAACAACACGAATGGCCTGATCAGTGGGGACAACAAAGGCTACGCCGCTCAGCTGGCAGAGGAAATAATGAACCAAGGGGCACTACCAGGGAAGGTCAGGACAGAGTTATGGCCCTTTAACACAGCATCCAATAACTTTCTGATGTCTCTCTGTTAAGAAATGATACATGAAATCATTTTTATGAGAATGATAAAAGAGATACACTTTGTTTCAATTCTATTTTGAGCCTTTTCCAAAATATTTTTTTATTCCAGGGAGCGTTTGTCGCTGCGTTTGCTCAGAGCAATGAAGGAGATGTGTCCCCTAACACTAAAGGCCCCCACTGTATGGACAGTGGTCTTCCATGTGATATACTGACAAGCACCTGCCATGGCAAGGTACACATACTTCTTCAGCAATTACTGCCTCCGTGGCAGAGAGCGGAAGGTCGTGGGTTCAATCCAAACGTCATACCAAAAGACGATAGAATATAGTACTTGTTGGTCCCAGCCTGGCGCTCGGCATTAATGGGTACAACAAGGACTGATCGGCTCAGAGACTGTATAATGTGTCTGAGTGGGGTATTCATGCTTAACTGCGGCATGGTATCTCTGTGAGCTAGCACTATAAAACCAGCGTAAGTCTGAGCTAGTACAAACATGCACGTCGTCATATAAGCAAAATATTCTCAAGTTCAACGTATAAACCCCCCGTTCATCTCACCTATTCAGCAATTACTTGTAAAGTCAGTCATTTGTAGGACGCTAGTATAGTCTTGTGGTTAAACTTGTTATGCCAAAGACTCCTATTCCAAATTCCAAAATGGGTACAATTGGTGATGTCCATTTACCCTAGTGATATTGCTGACATATTGCCCAAAGCAGTGTAAATCCAGGCTGAACCAGTAACTGCCATTTACAAGCCATCAAATATGGATATTCCTGGATAGTGTCAATTCAGTTATCATTCTCATTATCTCCCCCTTCAGAACGAGCTGTGTGTTGCTGCGGGCCCTGGCCGGGATATGTTCGAGAGCACCAAGATCATCGGGGAGAATCAGTACAACAAGGCCATGGTGGGTTCCTGACAGTTTCAGGAATGTGATATGATTGTGTACATGAGGGGGAATGGTTTAATGTCAATGTTGCAAACACTGTTCAGACAGAGGTATAATACCCAGATGTGTTGTAAGTGTATTGCTATACAGTTAGAAGTGATGTAAGTGAATTGCTATACAGGTAGATGTGATGTAGGTGTATTGCTATACAGGTAGATGTGATGTAAGTGAATTGCTATACAGGTAGAAGTGATGTAGGTGTATTTCTATACAGGTAGATGTGATGTAGGTGTATTGCTATACAGGTAGAAGTGATGTAAGTGTATTGCTATACAGGTAGATGTGATGTAAGTGTATTGCTATACAGGTAGATGTGGTGTAGGTGTATTGCTATACAGGTAGATGTGATGTAGGTGTATTGCTATACAGGTAGATGTGATGTAGGTGTATTGCTATACAGGTAGATGTGATGTAGGTGTATTGCTATACAGGTAGAAGTGATGTAAGTGTAAAGTGTATTGCTATACAGGTAGAAGTGATGTAAGTGTATTGCTATACAGGTAGAAGTGATGTAGAAGTGTAGGTGTATTGCTATACTGGTAGAAGTGATGTAGGTGTATTGCTATACAGGTAGAAGTGATGTAGGTGTATTGCTATACAGGTAGAAGTGATGTAGGTGTATTGCTATACAGGTATGTAGGTGTATTGCTGGGTAGAAGTGATGTAGGTGTATTGCTATACAGGTAGATGTGATGTAGGTGTATTGCTATACAGGTAGAAGTGATGTAGGTGTATTGCTATACAGGTAGAAGTGATGTAAGGTGTGCTATACATTGCTATACAGGTAGAAGTGATGTAGGTGTATTGCTATACAGGTAGATGTGATGTAGGTGTATTGCTATACAGGTAGATGTGATGTAGGTGTATTGCTATACAGGTAGAAGTGATGTAGGTGTATTGCTATACAGGTAGAAGTGATGTAAGTGTATTGCTATACAGGTAGAAGTGATGTAGGTGTATTGCTATACAGGTAGAAATGTGATGTATTGCTATACAAGTGTATTGTATTGCTATACAGGTAGAAGTGATGTAGGTGTATTGCTATACAGGTAGATGTGATGTAGGTGTATTGCTATACAGGTAGAAGTGATGTAGGTGTATTGCTATACAGGTAGATGTGATGTAGGTGTATTGCTATACAGGTAGAAGTGATGTAGGTGTATTGCTATACAGGTAGAAGTGATGTAGGTGTATTGCTATACAGGTAGAAGTGATGTAGGTGTATTGCTATACAGGTAGGATGTGATGTAGGTGTATTGCTATACAGGTAGAAATGGTGTAAGTGTATTGCTATGCGGGTAGAAGTGATGTAGGTGTATTGCTATACAGGTAGAAGTGATGTAGGTGTATTGCTATACAGGTAGAAGTGATGTAGGTGTATTGCTATACAGGTAGAAGTGATGTAGGTGTATTGCTATACAGGTAGAAGTGATGTAGGTGTATTGCTATACAGGTAGATGTGATGTAGGTGTATTGCTATACAGGTAGAAGTGATGTAAGTGTATTGCTATGCAGGTAGATGTGATGTAGGTGTATTGCTATACAGGTAGAAGTGATGTAGGTGTATTGCTATACAGGTAGCAGTCATGTAAGTGTATTGCTATACAGGTAGATGTGCTGTAAGTGAATTGCTATACAGGTAGAAGTGTTTGTTAGTGTAGTGCGAAACAGGTAGATACAGGTAGAAATTATGTACAGTACAACCAGAAATTATTGAGAATTTAAAGATTGTAATTTTTTATATTTTTTTCACTCATTACTCACGTATTAAATGTGGATATTAGCAGAACATATATCCAGATTCAAAGACAGGTGAACAGTTAGTATTTTGTCAAGTCACCATGGGCAGCAATGCAGGCTTTAATGCAGCGGGGCATACTACTGATCAAAGAAGTTAGAAAGTCTTGGTCCATGCTGTCCCAATATCGGACCACCTCTTCTTTCATTTCAGCAATATTTGTCAGAATTTTCTTCTTGACACTTTCCTTCATAAGTCCCCAAACATTTTCTATTGGATTTAGGTCAGGGCTATGGCTTGGCCAATCTAATAATGTCATATTTTTTTAGGTCCGAAACCAGTCCTGTGAATGCTTTGAACGATGCTTTGGGTCGTTGTCCTGCTGGAAAATCAAAATTTTTCCATAGAACACATGAGCAGATGGAAGTAAATGTTCCCCGAGAATATCTGTGTACCGCTCACTGTTCATATTCCCTTCAAATACCCAGAGGGGCGTTGCCCCTAACACAGATATGCCACCCCACACGTTAATTCTTTTTCAGAAGAAGTCCTCCTTGGGGTACATATAAGCATTAAAATGTCCATTTTAAATCCTACGACAGTTGTAACTATATTTTTAATAAAATATTTACAAAACAAAAAACTCGTTTTGTCTTGTGAGACCACCCCTACAGGGCCCCACCGGACCAACAAAGCCAAGAGCAGGTAACTCTCGCCGTCTACCTCGTACCTCACTTTTCATGCTGTCGTTATGTTGAATAGACGTGCGTGGTGTTCGTTTCGAGTTTGCTTTCCTACCGATACGATGAGTGTAAAAGAGCTCAATCTGTATGTATGGTTCCTTTCTCTACGCACGGGCGTTAGATGGACGTCATATGTTGATATTTTCATTCATCTTTTGTTGTAACTTTGCCGTGGGTTCTCTGTTTTCCAGCCATGTAGCAGGCAAAATGGCGGACCGCGCGATCGTGGTTTCCTTGCTATATGTTCTTGGTAGCTTGTAGTAGGGAGTTCATATATTATGTTTGCATATTATATGGATAGGCTTGCCTACATTCTCTTTCTTTTCAGCGAATTTGTTGTAAGTTGTTGTTGAGTAATTTTGATAGTGTTCGTTTCGTATCACTCAACTTTACTCTATCACTAGTATGTACTAGTATGTACACGCAGGTTTGGCTAGCCTTTTTTCTGCTTTGCATTGTATGTTTAGTATTTAAATGGCTGTAGCTTGTAGCATTTAAATATCGCCCGTGCGTGTTTTTCTTGCTATTTACTTGTGTTTATGTGTTTGCTGCTTCACAGTTCCTGCTAGTAACACTGGCGTGGTTCTGTTTGTTGCAGTTTAAGCCCTGTGCGTTGTGTCGTGCACACTACCGCCACAGGATGGTCATAAAGTGTGCCTCCGGTGTTTAGCCGAGGACGCTCACGACGATCAAGGATGCTCATAATAAACGCCCTTGCGTCAATATTCCTGTTACATTATGTTGTGTTATGATACATATTTCATACGTTTACACACAACGTGGCTCATAGGCTGAGGTTGTGTTTTTTGTCTGGGTTTCTGCGCCTCACGCGCATTCTTTCCGACACGCAGATTTTATGTTTTTCACTAATCTGCTTCAGGCGGGGGATAATATTTGATGAAAGGTTTCTAAGGAAATCCCTTTATCGTTCCCCCGCAAACAATGTTGCTGACTTAAATATTGACTCAATTGCTTCACTATTGCAGCAACATATTCTTCAACATAATGTCAAGTCGATGATTGATAGCGTGATGTCCGAGCGAGAGCGCGCCTCCTCCCAGGCAGCTTGATCCTGGCTTCGGCTCAGGTGATGGTGTGCCTTCAGCACCTTGTGGCGACCTAGCTTCGGGCTCAGGTTCGTCACAGGCGCCTGGCGCCGGCGATGCAGGTTTCAACCTGTCTTCGCCTGGTGCCCAGACTGGCGGTCGCCTAGGCGCCGACCAGCTCGGGGACACCTCGGCGCCAAGTGGTCAGTCGGGTTGCCCGGGAAACCTGTATCGGCAGGTTCCTCTCGGCGCCCCGGTCTGGGTTCCACTGAGCTGCCGATCACCTCGGCACTCCTAGGTCCACCAGGGGAAACCTGCATTGCCAGGCTACTCCCTTGTGTCTCGGGACTGCAGATCGGACTAGCACCAACCTGGGCTTCGGCCCCGGTACGGAGCAGATCCCCGGCGCTGTTAGCTCAGGTCTCGGCCTGATGTCTATCGATGCCCTGGCCAAGGGGCCGTTGAGTGTGACGAGCTGCCGATCACCTTGACGCCGAGGTCTACCCAGGTACACCAGGGGAGCCCTGCATTGTCAGGCTACTCCCATGTGTTTTGGGATCGGGGTTCGAACTGTGACCTTGTCGCTCTAGAATGTTGTCCCTATCATGACGTCACAATGACAATGTAATGACATCATACTGTAACCGCTACAATCTCCCTGAAGAGTAGAGAACGAAACATGTTGGAGAAAAAGGCATTCTGTTTTTATTTATCTATGTATTATATCTGTATATATATATATACACACATATGTGTATGTATATACATATATGTGTATGTATGGGTAATTATATAGCGCTATAGGCTATGTTTGACTATATGCTCAGTGCGCTTTTGGAGAGTACTTGGGGAAACCTGATTTATCAGGCTACTCCTACGTGTCTCGGGATCGGGGTTCGGTCTAGAACCGCTGAGCTTCGGCTCCGCGGATTCTCTGAACCCCGTGGGTAGCACCGACCCAGGCTTCAGCACTGGTAGGGCGCAGATTCCCGGCTCTGGTAGTTCAGGTCTCGGCCTGATGTCTATCGCCGTCTTGACCAAGATGCCATCGAGTGTGCCGGGTGTGACGGTCACCTCGACGCTCCGAGGTCTGTCTGAGTGCTTGTGAAACCTTGATTTATCAGGCTTCTCACATGTGCCTCGGAATCGGGGTTCAGGCTCGTACAGTGGACAAGTCGATTTGAGCTTCGGCTCATTTCGCTACTTTGAACTTACCACTGAGTAGGTTCGTCCCTGAGGCAAGTGCGAGATAGAATCGCGGCTGTGTTGCCTCAGGTGTTGTCCACGTCGAATACTCGAACCGTTGGAGTTCGCCTCCCGGAGGGAAGCCTGCTTCCGGCAAGGCATCCGGGACAAGGCCTCACACTCTCCCGTAAGTCTGCCGTTCTTTCCCCTTCACAGCTCAACGCTGTATGCTCCACTCGGCGCATCTCTCAGCTCTGCTGAGGGAGCTGGTGGAAAGAGGAGAGAGCGCCGGCGGTATTTTTTCGTCGGCGACTCTGGGCGGCATCTGACGGGGGTGAACTCTCATCTGGCTAGGGACTGCATTGTAGCTGTGCCAGCCAAATGATGAGTGCGGTTATGGGCCTATACGCCCGGGACCGTTTCGAGGAATACGGAAGTCTGTTGAGCTTCTCGTTAATTCCTCAGGTGCCCAGGCATCGGCAAACGTTAAGTTGCCGACTGCTGGGGTTTACTATATTCTGCCGCAAACACCGGTCGGAGCGACACACTCCAGTGTCGGCTTCCCGGGAGACGGCGACAATACTCCAGTCCAGTCTCTGCTGGGCTAGGCAACCAGTGTGGTGGTTTCCAATGGTCAGGAAAATGTGGGGTTTGACTCCATTTATTTCATCGTTGCCATTACGAACGGAATGTTCAGACCCATTCTCATCTGAGAGCTGAACAAGTTAATAGAGGTACTGTCCTTCAAGATGGAGACACACAAGGCCGGGTGATCTCATCTGCCGAGACAGGGGATTGGCGCACGCCAATCAACCTCGAGGTCGCGTACCTCCTTGTTCCATTGCACCCTGATTTCAAGATTTACCTTCGGTTTCTTGTTTGACGGGACGTGCTACCAGTTTCGTGTGCTCTCCTTAGGCTACATTACGGTGCCAAGGGTGTTCACCAAATTGAGGTTTATTACAGCTCAGATAGCCAGATCGCAGTGCCGGTGTTGTCACCCGTACCTAGGCGACTGGCTCATCGTGGTTTCAGAATCACTTTGAGTCTGGGGACCTCACGATCAGTGTTGGTCACTCTTACGAAACTGGGCGGAATTGTCAACCTCACGCAGTCAGATGGACAGACGTCAGGCGTCTCGCTGAGGGTCCCCACCCCTGGAGACACCGTCGCTCTCAGTCCAGCCAGATACATCCCTACCGGGTTAGGGCGATGTTCTGGGTGACCTGCAGCCTCTTGACGACGAAGTCACAACCTGCACATCAATGTGCTGGAATTGACAGCAGTCAGGTTGGTGTTCGATTCCGCACGCCGGGATTCGAATTACCTCTTCGGCCAGACATTCTCACTCTGAACGGGGCGCCACACCCGAATCCTCGGATTCACTGGGTGGCTTGGCCTCTGTCAGGTATAACACATGGAATTCCTGGAATCGTTGCAGACACAATTCTGGCTTCGAGGCGGGATTCGACACCCGTTCAGTGTGTTGATTGGTGGGGCGTGCGGGTGTGCAGATAGGGGGGATTTCTTAATCCCTATTCTGCGGATTTAGTTCGGATATTGGAGTTACTATAACCTCGTTTTGGTTGAGAGCCTTATGACCTCCACCATTGCCGGGTACTCCATGGCTATTTCCACGTTTCACACCTCGTTCGATGGTGCTCTGCCTAGGCAGCATCCTCTCGTACATCGCGTCGTAGCTGGCATGACCAGGGTTCGACCGCCGCGGCGGCGACTCAGCCCACCTTAAAATTGCCACTTATTCTCAATTGGCTGTCTGGCCCTAATTTTTCAAGTATATCGTCTCTCTCACTTCACTTGTTGACGAGGAAGGAAGACGACTTTACTTGGTGAACTCTGGTAGAAGGGTCGGGTACATCCATGCGATTCCCACTGACCCGACACTGACAGTATTTTATACTGATCATGTCCGTATTCGCCTCCCGGATACCTACCACTCTCAGTGCAATATTACTTTCCACGTACCCTCCTCACGCCGAGAGTGTTTGGTGGGGGTGTTTTTCACTCGTACAATGCATGGCGTTTGTACTCGTTCGATTTCCTCAGAAAGTTTTTAGCGAGGCTAATAATTTCTCTGGGTTTTATCGAGGTCCCCGCAAGCCCTCTTCCAAACAGGAGGGGTGCATTCGAGCATTAGTTTGCAGTACTTATTAGCTCGACTCCTGGGTTATTGGCTTTCTAGCGTTTAAATTTTTTACGCTTTCCCTACCCTTATACTTCTCGCCACCCTTGTCTGGCTGGGGCTATATTAGGGTTGGGAGTTGTTCGGCATGTCCCCATACATTCCTTCCATTGAAATGGTTGGGGGCAGGGTTTTATGTCATAATTGATTTGAGCCAATTGACATATAAGCTTGGCCTCTCTAGTTCACGCCCCCATCTGATTGACATCAGCGGTCAGGTGGCTCGGTGTTTTCTGTTTCCATATCGGTTGTAGATTTCACTCCACCACGGGTTTAGTTGTTGCCAGACAGAATGCCACTCCCGTCTCAAATATCTTTGGGAGTCTGTCATATGCTTATATGTACCCCAAGGAGGACTTCTTCTGAAAAAGAATTATACAAACCTGTAGAGGTTATGAATTCTTTGAAGAAAGTCCTCCTTGGGGTACGGCCACCCGCCTCCCCTCATTCTGTCTGACACATTCAGCATGAAAAGTGAGGTACGAGGTAGACGGCGAGAGTTACCTGCTCTTGGCTGTGTTGGTCCGGTGGGGCCCTGTAGGGGTGGTCTCACAAGACAAAACGAGTTTTTTGTTTTGTAAATATTTTATTAAAAATATAGTTACAACTGTCGTAGGATTTAAAATGGACATTTTAATGCTTATATGTACCCCAAGGAGGACTTTCTTCAAAGAATTCATAACCTCTACAGGTTTGTATAAATTTTTGGACTGTACTTTGGGCGCTGATACAAAGGTTTTTCAGCTTGTTTGGTCCAGAATTTCAGTGTAATAGCCACACAGAACTTTCATCTGAGAAAATCACATCGCCCCAGTTAACATTTCTATGCTGTAAGCACCAGTTCAACCTTCGCTCCTTTTGTTCAGGTTTAATGATCGGTGATGGAATTCCTCGACTTTTCTGCCCACCCATTGCATGCAGCTCAGTTCTAATTGTCTCCTTACAGACTGCCACAGTTCCTCTATCAGTCATATCCAGCCTTAAGTTTTCTAAACTCCTTTGTTTGTTTTTTAGAAACAAGAATACCAAGCCGCCTCCTGTCACCGACAGTCAATTTTCTGGGCTTACCTGTGCCTCCCTGGTGCTCAATGCCATATCCATTTGCAATATTTTTCAAATCACGATAAACAGTGGACAAAGGGATGCCTGTTCTACTTGAAATCACTTTAGCTGATCTGATGTCCTTGTTATAATACTCTAAAATCAACTTCTCTTCTCTAAATCATCCATACTGAGGATCACTGAAACTGTCGTCTACTAGCAAGTAAACAAATGGGGATAACTCTTCACAAACTAATGAAAAAGGATTAACGGATTTGTCTCTCTTGAATGAAACCAAGCACTTGATAGCTGGTCAAGGTTGTTTATGCTAGAAATCCAATTAAACATATTCCTAAAATTCTCAATAATTTCTGGTCATTCTATAAGTGTATTGCAAAACATGTAGATGTTACAGTCCTATTCAAGATGAAACAGAGCAAGAAATGGATGATTCATCCAATAGTATTATGTTTTGCTATTGATGTTCTGTCTAACTTAAAAATTGTGTTGAATCTTTTTCTATAAAAGTAGATTTCTAAAGGAAATAGTGTGTTAATGACCTGACTATGAGTGGTAAGTGACATAGATGATGTGTTTGACCAGGAGCTGTACCACACTGCCACCACCAGGCTGTCGGGCCCAGTAGACTTCCGTCACTCATATGTTGATATGACAGATGTAGCTGTGGAAGTCAATGGTACAACTGTGAGTATCACAAGTTGATATCAGGTACTATCTGGGTCAAGTCTTCCAAATTTTAAAAGTTATGGTTCAAAGATAATTCAAGATGACAGGCTCCAGCTGTTTACCTGTGGCATGAATTACTTGATTTCCAAGAAGTTTGTGATTTTTGGTGATTTACTTTCATTGCATATAGGATGCAATATTTTGCATCTTGTTGATCTTCAGCAACCCATGCTCATCGTAAATGGCGAGTAACAGGTTTGGGTGATCAGGCTCGCTGACTTGGTAGACACTTGTCATCATATCCCTATGGCGTAGATCGATGCTCATGCTGTTGATCACTGGATTGTCTGGTCCAGACTCAATTATTTACCGCCATATAGTTGTAATATTGCTGACTCCGACATAAAACTAAACTCACTCACTGTTACTATAAATAATAAATTATGAGTGACATTAATTCAGGATTGAGAAACAATGTTAAAGGTTAAGAAAGTGTTCATCTGAGAAACATATGTATCTGTCATAGAGCATCACCCGACATTATCCGTCTCATCCCAGATGTGAGGGGTGGTAGATAGACGAGTGGTTAAAATGTTTGCTCGTCGCGACGAAGACCCGGGTTCGATTCTCCACATGGGTACAAAGTGTGAAATCCATTTCTGGTGTCCCCCCGTCATGATATTGATGGAATATTGTTAAAAGTGGCAATAAAGCCAACTCACACACTCACATCTGTGACATTATTCACCTCTGCTGCTCCAGGTGAAGACCTGCAAGCCAGCCATGGGGTACAGTTTTGCAGCCGGAACCACCGATGGACCTGGAATGTTTGACTTTAAACAGGGTGAGCATCACTTGCATAATCAAGCTAAAGAGATGCAGATGGGCTGTTAGTTTCAAAGAGTTTGTTGTCTGCATGCTTCATCACTCTTTGTATAAGCCTGCCACTGGCAAAAATGTTCCTGGTGCCTACCTGAATCACACTCTTAAAAATTTGATATTTATTTGAAAAATACCTCATGATAATATTTTTCTACAATGTCAGTAATATATTTTCTTTTGCTAAAGTAAACATTATCATAAACATTAACTGGATGAACATTTTAAATGAACCTTTCCAAATGCTTAGAGCACAATATATTTCAATAAATAGACATGGAAGATAAGACATTGAATAGGATGTTATCTGTCTCCATGAATGAAGCAACATTTCTGAAACAACTTCTTCCCTGGCTTATGGAGAAACGACATTTGCTGAGTTTGAAGATGGATACATGCTCCTGTTAACCTTCAAAGAAGAAGAAAAAGATGATGATGATGATGATGATGAAATGTATTCTTGTAGGCACAATTAGTTCCAAAGACACATATATACAGTTTGTTTATTCTTTGTAGTGTACTTTCATTTTGTTTTAGATTTATATATCCGTGTATTTGCGTTTTAGAAATTACTACAAATCAGTATTTATTAAGATTGTTACATTCCTTGATGCTGTTCACAAGAATGATGCTGTATGTATGTTCCTCAGTCACTGCTACATCCGAGACAGAGGTAGCTCAAATATTGGCTCTGTAAAATGTAAATAGGAACATGCTTAAATACCAGTTCATCTGTTTTAATATCTTTGCAGGTTCAACATCATCTAACCCCTTCTGGAACTGGGTACGAGGTTTCATCAAAACTCCTTCTCCTGAACAAGTTTCCTGCCATGCCCCGAAACCAATCCTGTTCGATACAGGCGAGGTGAGCTCCCGCAGTGGCTTAATGCCAGGAACAGTTCAACAGTTATCTTTTCTTCCCCAAAACTATGCTGCCATTGGTGCAAATATAACGTTTGTCCAAATATGTTTTCTGTCAACTGGTACAATAATTAAGAAATTCCGCCATGTATTTGAAGTAAACAACAGGTATGAAATGTTACAGTTATTGTAGTGGTCTTATCAGTATCATCAGTTGATGACTTGCAAATATATAGTTTATATTATATATAACATAATATTTTATGTGACATATGTCTTTTTATGTGTCAAATGCTACAACAGATCAATCGACCATATCCATGGCAACCAGCGATTGTTGACATTCAGATGCTCCAAATTGGCCAGCTTGTGATCATTGGCGTACCAGCAGAATTCAGGTATGTGACACCTGATAAAGTTTGGGTCATGTGTTTCACTCAGTGACAGGTGATTCAGGTAACGACACAAGTGATTCAGTTGGTGTCAAGTGATTCAGTTAGTGATGGTTGATTCAGTTAGCGACAACTCATCCAGTTAGCAACAAGTGATTCAGTTAGCAACAAGTGATTCAGTTAGCGACAAGTGATTCAGTTAGTGATGGGTATATTCAGTTAGCATCAAGTGATTCAGTTAGCGACAAGTGATTCAGTTAGTGTCAAGTGATTCAGTTAGCGACAACTGATCCAGTTAGCAACAAGTGATTCAGTTAGCAACAAGTGATTCAGTTAGCGACAAGTGATTCAGTTAGTGATGGGTATATTCAGTTAGCATCAAGTGATTCAGTTAGCATCAAGTGATTCAGTTAGCGACAAGTGATTCAGTTAGGTGATTAGTTAGCGATGGATTCAGTTAGCAACAAGTTATTCAGTTATTCAGTTAGTTAGTCAAATTGATTCAGTTAGCATCAAGTGATTCAGTTAGTGATGGGTATATTCAGTTAGCATCAAGTGATTCAGTTAGCTTCCGGCGATCAAGTGATTCAGTTAGCAGTTAGCAACAAGTGATTCAGTTAGCAACAAGTGATTCAGTTAGCGACAAGTGATTCAGTTAGTGATGTTAGGTGATTCAGTTTCAGTTTCAGTTAGCATCAAGTGATTCAGTTAGCGACAAGTGATTCAGTTAGTGTCAAGTGATTCAGTTAGCGACAACTGATCCAGTTAGCAACAAGTGATTCAGTTAGCAACAAGTGATTCAGTTAGCGACAAGTGATTCAGTTAGATTCAGTTAGCATGTGATTCAGTTAGCATGATTCAGTTAGTGTGATTCAGTTAGTATATTCAGTTAGCATCAAGTGATTCAGTTAGCAGTTAGCGCAAGTGTGATTCAGTTAAGCGACAACAAGTGATGATTCAGTTAGCAACATGTGATTCAGTTAGCGACAAGTGATTCAGTTAGCAACATGTGATTCAGTTAGCGACAAGTGAATGTGTAAGCGACAAGTGATTCAGTTAGCGACAACTGATCCAGTTAGCAACAAGTGATTCAGTTAGCAACAAGTGATTCAGTTAGCGACAAGTGATTCAGTTAGTGATGGGTATATTCAGTTAGCATCAAGTGATTCAGTTAGCGACAAGTGATTCAGTTAGTGTCAAGTGATTCAGTTAGCGACAACTGATCAGTTAGTGATTCAGTTAGCATCAAGTGATTCAGTTAGCAAAGTGATTCAGTTAGCAACATATTCATTCAGTTAGTTAGCATCAAGTGATTCAGTTAGCATCAAGTGATTCAGTGATTCAGTTAGTGATTGGTTAGTGATTCAGTTAGCATCAAGTGATTCAGTTAGCATCAATTCAGTTAGCATTCAGTTAGCGACAAGTGATTCAGTTAGCGACAAGTGATTCAGTTAGCAACAAGTGATTCAGTTAGTGACAAGTGATTCAGTTAGCGACAAAGTGATTCAGTTAGCAAGCGTTAGCATCAAGTGATTCAGTTAGCATCAAGTGATTCAGTTAGCAATGGGTGATTCAGTTAGCAACAAGTGATTCAGTTAGCAACAAGTGATTCAGTTAGCATCAAGTGATTCAGTTAGTGATGGGTGATTCAGTTAGCGATATTCAAGCATGTGATTCAGTTAGCAACAAGTGATTCAGTTAGCATCAAAGTGATTCAGTTAGCGATCAAGTGATTCAGTTAGTTAGCGGGCAACAAGTGATTCAGTTAGCAACAAGTGATTCAGTTAGCTTTACAAGTGATTCAGTTAGCGACAAGTGATTCAGTTTCAGTTAGCATGATCCAGTTAGCAACAAGTGATTCAGTTAGCAACAAGTGATTCAGTTAGATTCAGTTAGTGATGCAGTTAGCAAAGTGATTCAGTTAGCAACAAGTGATTCAGTTCATGGGTAATGTGTTAGTTAGCGACAAGTGTTAGTTCAAGTGATTCAGTTAGCAGTTAGCAACAAGTGATTCAGTTAGTGATTGACAAGTGATTCAGTTAGTCAAGGGTGATTCAGTTAGCGACAAGTGATTCAGTTAGTGACAAGTGAATGTATTCAGTTAGCATCAAGTGATTCAGTTAGCAACAAAGTGATTCAGTTAGCATCAAGTGATTCAGTTAGTGACAAGTGATTCAGTTATTCAGTTAGTGACAAGTGATTCAGTTAGCGACAAGTGATTCAGTTAGTTAGCATGATTCAGTTAGACAAGTGATTCAGTTAGCATCAAGTGATTCAGTTAGTGATTCAGTTAGCAAAGTGATTCAGTTAGCGACAAGTGATTCAGTTAACGACAGTTAGCATGGGTGATTCAGTTAGCTTACATTCAGTTAGCGATTCAGTTAGCGATGGGTGATTCAGTTAGTGATGGGATCTCAGAGTGATTCAGTTAGCCACAGTGATTCAGTTAGCATAAGTGATTCAGTTAGTGATGGGTGATTCAGTTAGTGATTCAGGTGATTCAGTTCAGTTAGTGATGGGTGATTCAGTGATTCAGTTAGCATCAATTCATTCAGTTAGTGACAAATGATTCAGTTAGCGACAAGTGATTCAGTTAGCGACAAGTGATTCAGTTAGCGACAAAGTGATTCAGTTAGCAATACAAGTGATTCAGTTAGTGATGGGTGATTCAGTTAGTTATTCACAAGTGATTGAGTTAGCATCAAGTGATTCAGTTAGTGAGTGATTGAGTTAGCGACAAGTGATAGATTCAGTTAGTGATGGGTGATTCAGTTAGTGATGGGTGATTCAGTTAGCGACAAGTGATTCAGTTAGCAGCGTTAAAGTGATTCGGTTAACAAGTGATTCAGTTAGTGATGGGTGTTCAGATTCAGTTAGTGATTCAGTTAGTGATTCAGTTAGCAACAAGTGATTCAGTTAGTGACAAGTGATTCAGTTAGTGATTAGCTGATTCAGTTAGTGATGGGTGATTCAGTTAGCAACAAGTGATTCGGAAGATTCAGTTAGCAACAAGTGATTCAGTTAGCAACAAGTGATTCAGTTAGCATCAGCGATTCAGTTAGTGATTTAGTTAGCGTGATTCAGTTAGCGACAAGTGATTCAGTTAGCGACAAGTGATTCAGTTAGCATGATGGGTGATTCAGTTAGCATCAAGTGATTCAGTTAGCGACAAGTGATTCAGTTAGCAATCAAGATTCAGTTAGCGACAACGCGATTCAGATTCAGTTAGCAGTAACGAGTGATTCAGTTAGCGACAAGTGATTCAGTTAGCGACAAGTGATTTAGTTAGCGACATGTGATTCAGTTAGTGATGGGTGAGTCAGTTAGTGACAAGTGATTCAGTTAGCATTAAGTGATTCAGTTAGCGACAAGTGATTCAGTTAGCGATGGGTGATTCAGTTAGTGATGGATGAGTCAGTTAGCGACAAGTGATTTGGTTAGCGACAAGAGATTCAGTTAGTGATGGGTGATTCAGTTAGCGATGGGTGATTCAGTTAGCGATGGAAGCTTACAGGTGATTCAGTTAGTGATGGGTGATTCAGTTAGTGATGGGTGATTCAGTTAGCGACAAGTGATTCGGTTAGCGACAAGTGATTCAGTTAGCATCAAGTGATTCAGTTCGTGATGGGTGATTCAGTTAGCGAGAAGTGATTCTGTTAGCGACAAGTGATTCAGTTAGCATCAAGTGATTCAGTTAGGACAAAGTGATTCAGTTAGTGATGGGTGATTCAGTTAGCGACAAGTGATTAGCCATTCAGTTAGCGAAATGATTCAGTTAGCAACAAGTGATTCAGTTAGTGATGGGTGATTCAGTTAGCGATGGGTGATTGAGTTAGCAACAAGTGATTCAGTTAGCAACAAGTGATTCAGTTAGTGATGGGTGATTCAGTTAGCGAGAAGTGATTCAGTTAGCAACAAGTGATTCAGTTAGCATCAAGTGATTCAGTTCGTGATGGGTGATTCAGTTCGTGATGACTCAGTTAAGTGATTCAGTTAGTTAGCGATATGATTCAGTTAGTGATGGAGGATTCAGTTAGCGACAAGTGATTCAGTTAGCGACAAGTGATTTAGTTAGCGACATGTGATTCAGTAAGTGATGGGTGAGTCAGTTAGTGACAAGTGATTCAGTTAGAATTAAGTGATTCAGTTAGCATCAAGTGATTCAGTTAGCGATGGGTGATTCAGTTAGTGATGGATGAGTCAGTTAGCGACAAGTGATTTGGTTAGCGACAAGAGATTCAGTTAGTGATGGGTGATTCAGTTAGCGATGGGTGATTCAGTTAGTGATGGGTGATTCAGTTAGTGATGGGTGATTCAGTTAGCGACAAGTGATTCGGTTAGCTACAAGTGATTCAGTTAGCGACAAGTGATTCAGTTAGCATCAAGTGATTCAGTTAGTGATGGGTGATTCAGTTAGCGACAAGTGATTCGGTTAGCGACAAGTGATTCAGTTAGCATCAAGTGATTCAGTTAGTGATGGGTGATTCAGTTAGCGACAAGTGATTCAGTTAGCGACAAGTGATTCAGTTAGTGATGGGTGATTCAGTTAGCGATGGGTGATTGAGTTAGCAACAAGTGATTCAGTTAGCAACAAGTGATTCAGTTAGTGATGGGTGATTCAGTTAGCGAGAAGTGATTCGGTTAGCGACAAGTGATTCAGTTAGCATCAAGTGATTCAGTTCGTTTCAGTTAGTGATGGGTGATTCAGTTAGTGATGGGTGATTCAGTTAGCGACAAGTGATTCGGTTAGCGACAAGTGATTCAGTTAGCATCAAATGATTCAGTTCGTGATGGGTGATTCAGTTAGCGAGAAGTGATTCTGTTAGCGACAAGTGATTCAGTTAGCATCAAGTGATTCAGTTCGTGATGGGTGATTCAGTTAGTGATGGGTGATTCAGTTAGCGACAAGTGATTCAGTTAGCGACAAGTGATTCAGTTCGTGATGGGTGATTCAGTTAGCGATGGGTGATTCAGTTAGCAACAAGTGATTCAGTTAGCAACAAGTGATTCAGTTAGTGATGGGTGATTCAGTTAGCGAGAAGTGATTCGGTTAGCAACAAGTGATTCAGTTAGCATCAAGTGATTCAGTTCGTGATGGGTGACTCAGTTAGCGAGAAGTGATTCTGTTAGCGACAAGTGATTCGGTTAGCAACAAGTGATTCAGTTAGGGACAAATGATTCAGTTCGTGATGGGGGATTCAGTAAGCGACAAGTGATTCAGTTAGGGATGGGTGATTCAGTTAGAGTTAGCAACAAGTGATTCAGTTAGTGATGGGTGATTCAGTTAGCGACAAGTGATTCAGTTAGCGACAAGTGATTCAGTTAGTGATGGGTGATTCAGTAAGCGACAAGTGATTCAGTTAGGGACAAGTGATTCAGTTAGTGATGGGTGATTCAGTTAGCGATGGGTGATTCATGTTTGTCACAGGAGATAAGATTTGTAACAAGTGACTGAGGTTTGTGAAATGTGATTCAGTTACTGATGTGTAATGTATGTTATTTTGTTTATTCAAGGTTGTGACGTTTGAGTCAGAGTAATTATATGGCAGATTATACTTCCACGATGATGTCTTATAATTCATGTCTTTACGTGTTGGTGAGCGGTGTGGTATTGTAGTGGTTAAAGCATTCGCTCGTCACACCGAAGACCACAGTCATTTCCCCACATGGGTACAATGTGTGAAGCCCAATCCTGGTGTCCCCCACTGTGATATTGCTGGAATATTTCTAAAAACTATGGCATAAAACTCGCTCGCCCGACCGAACGACTGGCCGACCTACCAACCATGTGTTCTTCAGCTACTGTGCCAGAAGTCATATTGTATCTTTGCTGTAACATGGCAGAACAATGTATCCTGCTAAATGCAAAGCAATATATCTCCATTGTTCAATTTGCATGATTAATACAAGTTTGCTCTGTGTGGTAGATGTTGACAAACGTGACGTGTTGCTTGTGTCTTTCAGTACAATGTCAGGACGTAGGACAAGAGATGCGGTGACAGAGGTAAGTCTTCAGACTGACATGTTGACATAGGCCAGTATTATCATGCTGGAGCAAGTACCTTTTTGTTGGGGTTCATTGATAGGATGGGGGTGCCTCTCACATGACTGAAAACTTGACCCAGTTCCACAGAGCTTGTTTGCGACATTATGGGTCACAGAATACGCCAAAATCTTCCAGCTTGTTTGATTGGAACAAGCTCTTGAACCAGAATGCAATGCAATAGCTCAACATGATATTCGGTTTCTGATACAGACGATGACGGGGAGGGTGGTCAAGGAGGTTATTGCAGTTGGTGGAGGCTACACCCTATGATAACATTGTTCTCGGTTATTGGTACTTATGAAATTTCTTGCGGATTGTATGATAGAATCTTGAAAAGGACCATGCTCGTTAACATCATACAACCATAGTTATCACCACTACAAAATAAGTCAAGTTTTTGCCATGTTTGTTTCTCTGAATAAGCTGCAGTGTTTCATTGTTTTTGCATTTAGATTTGCCATTTGATTATTCCTTGAGGGTCAGTTTATCCAGATAGTAGGTTGAATTCAGGTTTGGTTGAGTTTCTTTACTGTAGTTAATGATACCATATTGATACTATGAAACATATGGGGTATTTTTCCTTATCCTGACTCATGCTTATTGCTTGTCTTCTTCTTCTTCTTGCTAACATAGTGGAACACGTATCTCCCAATTGAAGTTCCCTTCAATTAAAAAATCACTAATTAGTACTCACCACGAAGTTACCTCCCTTCCACAAGCTGCTGAACGAGGGCCACCTGAACCCATGTGCCTCACTCTCTCCTTCTTCCCCAGTGAGCTGGACGTGAGAGCCTGTGTCTCCCAACACACTATATCCTTTATTTATATTTAGTTTAGTACCTCTTATATTCAGTTATAGAGGTGTAACTAGTATCCTTATTCAACTTGCATTGATTATTAGTCGTGTTTCTGCTGTTTTATTCACGGTTCGCCGTGTTTGTTCAGCAGTTTACGCTAATGAGAATCTGCACAGGTTGTAAACTACGCTATTCCGCCACCGATCCACATTTAAAATGCCCTAGTTGCATTACTCCATGTTCTATTGTTTCTCGCTGTAAATTATGTATTAATTTACCAATTTCTGCCTTTGATAAATATTTATGTTCCGCTTTTGAGACGGAAGGCAGATAAATCTCGCAAAACAATCTTCAGTCATGGCTAATAGATCGGAAGCTAATATACCCTGTCAACTGTTGACTGATTCGACCCGCCACCGGCTGGTGGCCTGCCGGAGTTTCCCTCGGGATAAGCGTGGACGCAGTCCGCTATGTCCAAGAAGCTTACCTGCATCTCAAGACATTCCGCCTTCACAGTCTAAGACTAGGAAAGCGCCCACATCATCTCAACGTGACGCTTCAACCCCCAGGTCCACAGCTTCACAAAAGGGAAATCTACGAAAAGCTACAAATAATTTTGCCTCCGATATTCTACCTGTCTCAGAATTATGTTTATATGATGATGACATTCTGATTATCATTCCAGATGTACGTCATAAGAAACGTCCAGTATCTGCTACCGTCACTACAGCGCAGATCAACACGCAACCAGAGATGCCTACGCTGACGCCTGAGTTTATGATTGAGGGTCCCGTCACTTTCACAGAGAGGCCACCCTCAACGCCAGCGCAGACCGTCCCAGACGACCTGGTTAACCAAATCATGAGACTGATGGAGGACCGTTACGGTTTACAGAGGCCCCAGAGCCACGGGCCCCAGAGCCCAACCCATAATAAGTCATACAGGGCCCCAGAGCCCGCTTTGGCTTCGCTGAGAGGGCCCCAGAGCCCACAAACGCCTCCGCCCGCTAAGGGCAACTCAGCCCGTGAGCGATCACTTCGCAAAGGAAGTCCCAGGTCAGCCTCCGCTAAGGAGCTAGAGCCTCCCAGTTGCGCGTAGGGACATCGCTGAGAAGGAGCGCCACGAGCCCACACCCTGTAGAACACAGAGGTCGCTCATGCAAGCAAGCCATATGTCGATTCGACACTGACTCGATACATTCGCTGCCAAGGTCGCTGGCTAAGTGGCTCCATATCTACCTCGCCCAGAAGATTTAGAAGAGCTTCACTAAGTCCCCAGCTGCTCACGAGGATGTCTCCTCCAAGGTCTCCTTACACTAGCCACTCGCCAGTCCGCTTCACCACAGTCCTCTCATAGATCTTCCTACAGATCTAGGACTCCGACATGTGACCCTACATCAGAGGAAGAAGGTATCATTTTCTCAGATGCTGAGATTAGATACTGGATGGTGAATGAGTTACAACTTGCTTCCCATCGAAGAACGAGAATTCAACTCAGACTTACCTGATGAAGGATGATGATGTAGACAATATCACCTTACCTCCTATTGACCCGATTGCAGCGTACCAGCTAATCTGGATACAGCCTGTTCCAAATCTTCGAAAGTCCAATCTACACATTTCCCGGTCTTCAATGCCAAGAAATTTGCTGGACACAATATGGACCCCTTTTTCAAGGCCCAGGATATTGATGACAACTTTAAATTAATCAGCGATGCCAAGTCCAGAAGTTACAGAGTAGACGATCGCAAATTCGCTCAATTAGATACCATCTCCAGGAGAATGTTCTTTGGATTGAATAGATCTAGAACGATTAATGAAACTCTCATCACCAAGTTCAAGAATTCTACAGAGGAGGAAGATAGAATGATCTACTCAGCTCTACTCATGCAGAAAAGAGACCACCAATTTCTTACAGAGCACCTGTCAGCGCTTACTGAAACTACTACCATGGCTCGTCGGCAAGGCTTACTAGCCTCCTGCTCTTGGGATAAGCAATTTACAGAATCTCTATACACAGCTCCATGGTCATCGCCCTTACTGTTTGGTGGCAACATAGACAAGGTCTCCAAAGAAGTATCTAAAGACTCGAGAGAGGTACTTATGATCAGATCCATGGATACCTTAGCGAACGTCATTAAACAGTCAACACAGAGATACTCGGGCAAGTCTAAGTTTTCGGGGCTACAGAAAGCACGGGACAAGAAATTAGCTGCAGCTAAAGATCCCAAGGATTCTTTTCGTCGCCCATACAACAAATTTAGGGGAGGATCAGCTAGAGGCAGATCATCCAGAGGTGCCCGTGGATTTAGACGATGAAATTCAGGTTCGGAACGACTGGAGTCTTCCACCCCCAGCCGTTCCAGTACAACCGTCTCAAGTGGGTGGACGCCTTCAGCTACACTGGGAAAACTGGGGAATACTACAAGATCCATATGTATCCAACATCCTACAGCACGGATATCTAATACAACTCAAGGCCAAGCCTCCGTTAACAGTCAACCCCACAGGGTTCAACGTTCAACCGGCACAACTACCTATGTTAAGAGAAACAGTACTTACTCTGCTAAACAAACAGGCCTTAGAAGTTCTGGATCAACGAAACATCGTACCAGGTTTCTACTCCCCAGTTTTCCTAGTGCCAAGAAAAATTCCAAGGAGAAGTTTCGCCTCATATACAACATGAGAGCATCTTCAACAGAGAATATCTATGCAAACCACCAACGCTTCGCGCATGATGATACACTTACCGCAACTTCGCATTTAATTCGTCCCAAAGATTACATGGCCAGCATAGATTTGCAAGACGATATCTACACATTCCGATTCATCCCAACTCAAGGAAATATCTAAGATTTATCCTAGACGGGAAACATTACCAATGGAAGGTTCTTCCCTTCGAATCACATCGGCCCCTTGGGTATTCACAAGAGTGACCAAGCCTATTGTCTCATACCTACATCGCCAAGGTCTTCGCAGCTTTTACCTAGACGACGGTATACAAGTGGATCCAGATCCACAGCGTCTCAGACTACAGCTGAACTTTATAATCAAGCTACTAACACAATTAGGATGGTTAGTAAATCTACTCAAGTCGGACCTAGAACCAACGCAGGATCTGCAATTTCTAGGTATACGATTTCTAACAGCTCAGAATCGTATTGTAGTCCCGGAGGACAGATGGATCAAGATCCAACAACTTATTCCTCAAGCCCTACTCTCTCCGTTACCACTACGACAGTGGCAGAGCCTATTGGGACTACTCACATCAGCTCAAGACTTGACAGTCAGAGGCAGGCTTCAATTACGCCCGTTACAAGTCCTCATCAATGCTCATCTCGAGGACCCTCTACCATTCAGTCTACCAGATTATGTCAAACCACATCTACTCTGGTGGACCAAGAGATTGAATGTTTGCGCAGGCGTCTCCTTAGTAGAGCCGGAATCGAAAACACATCTCTACGTACGACGCTGGCCACTACAAGGTTGGGGAGCCCACCTTGCTGGCAGGACAGCCAGGCCTATGGAGCAATCAAGAGAGCAAATGTCACATAAATCTGCTAGAGATGCAAGCAGTCATAAACGCCATAAGTCACTGGAGCAACCTACTACAGAACGCCAGTTGATGGTTCACACAGACAATTCAACAGTGGCGCTTTATGTGAACAAACAAGGTTCAACAAGGTCACAGAACCTACTGACTCGATGTTTCAGACTGTTCGATTTAATCGACAATCTAAACATACACGCCAGAGCTTGCCACATTCCAGGAGCAAAGAATGTATTAGCAGACGCCTCTCTCTCGCCACACCAACCGTCCGCGACAGAATGGATGCTCCACACAGAGATATTCAATCAAATAATCATGGAAATAGGATCTCCACTGATAGACCTATTCGCCACTGATTCAACAAGCAACTGACAACATTCGTGTCGCCAGTGCCAGACCCACTAGCATGGGCAACGGACGCACTAAGCATATCGTGGAGAGACTCAACGCTGCAGACGCTTTCCCGCCTCCAGCTGCTGATCCCACAAGTCTTACAGAAAATCAGTCAAACGCAGAGCCTCCATCTGATTTTGGTCGCTACTCTACTGGCCAGCAAGAACTTGGTTTCCAGATCTCATTCAAGTAATGGGAAAACCAATTCTTCAGCTCCCACAACGCCCAATCTATTGATACATCCGCGACACCAAACAAGTGCACGAAACACCAGAAGCATTCCAACTTCACGCATGGATTGTATCAAGGCATGTCTGAATAAGAGAGGTTATTCTGCCAGAGCGGCTAAAGCGGTCACGCTTTGCACTACGTAACTCAACTCGTAAATTTATAATGATGACAAATGGCACAGTTTTGTCAATTACGCTGCTAAGAAAGGATTTACAGCCAGATATGCTACACATCCTCAAGTGGCAGATTTCTTATGTTATCTACGGCAAACTAAGAATCTAAAAGGCTCAACCTTGTCCACTTATCTTGCAGCTATAAGTTCTGTCATAACTATGAGAACGGGCGTCAAGTTAACAAAAACACCAGAGTTACTCGCTTTGTTACGAGCTGCTCCGATTGGAGGATCAGAAACGGAAGTTTCACGCCCAGCCTGGGATCTAAATATAGTGCTCCAACACCTCACTAGTGAGGCTTATGAACCATTGCTATCTACATCGTTTGAATCACTGACCCACAAAACCTTATTCCTGTTAGCACTAGCTACGGCCGCCAGGATGTCAGAGATTCACGCATTGGATTACGAGAGAACACGCTTTGATGATATTCATAACATCGCTCATCTGGGACTTCGCTGGGATTTTATAGCTAAAAACCAACTGCCAGGTCAACCAGACAGATTATTCCACGTCCCAGCTCTCTCATCCATACTTGGACCGCATGATACGATGGATCTATCACTATGCCCAGTGAGAGCACTGAAAATATATCTCCAACGATCCAAACAGAGCAGAGGGAAATTCAAGAGATTATTTATCCCTATATCTACAGCTACGCAGACGGAAGTCTCACGTACTACTATCTCTATCTGGATCAGAACTGTCATACTACGTGCCTACAAGGCTGCAGGACTCCTGACCCTCCAAGAGCTTCTAATCCTCACTTAAATTAGAGCTTAGCCTCAACTCTCGCTCTACATGGGAATTGCTCGTTGAATACCATAATGGAGGGATGTTTCTGGAGATCCGATATGGTGTTTGCCAACCACTATCTGAGAGATATCACCACCGAGGACGCCTCAGGTATCCACCATTTCGGGTCCCATGGTCCTCGCCAACAGTTGACAGTTCCACGGAGAAGATAAGTCTATCTTACAGATTTTATACTTATCTGATAACAGTACTAATAGCTACATGCTATCTATATATTTTGCTTAAGTTTAATTTATTATCTTAAGCTCAGTACTATGGTTTTTATATCATACTATATATAAGCTTACAACTCCTAGGAGTTTTGCTATTATATATATGTTCAGCTTAAGTTTCATCAATCCTTAAGCTCAGTCATATGGTCATATGCATAAATGTATTAGCTAACAAACTCTAAGGAGTTGGTTACTATTATACAGCTTAAGTTATAATTATATCTTAAGCACAGTACTATACTATTATAGCTTAAATATATGCATATCTTAAGCTTAATACTTTGGTTCATTTATAAAAGTATCCACTATAAACTCACAGAAGTTTATACTATCACATTAATAGCTTCAGCTTACATTAATGTTGTATATACTTTTATCATATTCACTAAATTGTAATAACCTTTATATGGCAGCTGATAAGTTAAGCAGCAGGAATTCATCAGTTCAGTGCCTTTATGAAGTTCCCATAGGGTTATTACAATCATCACAGTTCAAATCACTAATTATTAAAATCCAAAGTATATATATTCCCACCTCCTTTTCCGTCAATGGATTCTACAGCAATAAGCATGAGTCAGGATAAGGAAAAATATGAAATTTTTAGAGTAAAATTAATATTTTATACTTATCCTGACTCATGAGGTAAGCTCCTCCCGCCCTCCCCCTTCACTTAACACTTTGGATTTCTTCGAAAAATAAAGTGTCGGGCTCAAAAACAAAAGGAGAGAGTGAGGCACATGGGTTCAGGTGGCTCTCGCTCCCCGCAATCTTGTGGAAGGGAGGAGGTAACCTCGTGGTGAGTACTAATTAGTGATTTTTAATTGAAGGAACTTCAATTGGGAGATACACGGTTCCACTATGTTCGCAAGAAGAAGAAGACAAGCAATAAGCATGAGTCAGGATAAGTATAAAATATTAATTTTACTCTAAAAATTTCATTTTAAGGGAGGTAACTTGTATTACCATACATGTACAGGCAATGTATTCTATCAGGGGAGGTAACTTGTATTACCATACATGTACAGGCAATGTATTCTATCAGGGGAGGTAACTTGTATTACCATACATGTACAGGCAATGAATTCTATCAGGCAGTAGAACCACTATTGATGACAAAGGGCATGCGTTGCTACGTTAGAGTGTGCACTGAAACAACAGAATGAAACCGTGAGCAGTCAATCCCCTTTATGCAAGAGGAACATATATGTCTCTCCTCTTCAACCCTCACTTTCAAGTCGAATAAAATTCAAAATATATCCCGCACACAAATACAATTCACAGTTTGTAATTCTGTGGGAAATTTCCTGTTCTTGATGCTATCATCTATCATCTGAGACAAAGAACAAGTTCTGAAAAAGACCTTTCAAAATTGGGTACATTGTACATATTTCCATATTACAAAATTCACGATTCACAGGGTTGGTTGGTTTTGAAATGTAAAAATCAGATAATTACTCAGAGGACTGAATTAAAAAATAGCATATCAATAATTACTGATGTCTGTTTTTCATCAAATTACCAATGGTCCTTCTGAAATGTCACCGATAAACCTAACCTAAACGTTATTTTTGTCCTTTGATCTTTTTTGTTTGTTAGAACAATATTTACGTTAGAAATTGAGTCTGGAAAAACTCTGGGTCCAAATCCACAAAGCATTCGTAATGTTACGACCTGTCATCAGTCTGTAGTTTACCATAGGTGTACGAATGTCGTAGCGATACGAATGCTTTGTGGATGGGGATCATGGTATCCAGGGGTTTCAACAATTAGGGCAGGCTGATTGTTGGGTAATGAAAGAAAGAGGTGATGGAAGCAGTGACTCCATTGGTTTCTGCAAATGTTGAGGTGCTGAGCTACTTGTGTCAGGACAACTGTTGCTTAATCAGAGTAAAGGGACATGTTTCTACCAGTGAGTGTGACTCTGTTGACATCCTGTGCTGCAGATCCAACGCTACGAGGGAGCATCCACTACATACGGACCCAACACTCTACAGGCATACATACAGAGCTTTGTAGGACTAGCACAAGATATGGCCAAAGTGAGTTTCTGTTTTCAACACAAGATGTCTAGTTGTTGCATATTGAGAGTTGTTTGTGTTACCATCCCTGCCTGGCAAGTCTAGAGAGGTGAGGTGAGGTGAAATTGGGTTTAGCGTCTAACCACTACACCACGGAGGCGGTCAAGTGTGAAGAGACATGGGCCAGTTTGTGTTACTGGAAGTAAGTATCTGCATCAAACAGCTGCCACTTTAATGATGGTTTCTCGGGTGTTCACTTGAAGTAGGTAATGTATAATCATGAATAACTGATATAAACTGTGATGAGAAGGGTATACTTCTCGTATGATCATGAATAAATTGTATGATAAACCATGATATTAGGTGGGTAGACTTGATGTATAAACATGAAAAACTATGAACTGGTGAGCAAATGAGTTTGGTTTTACGCCGCTTTTAGCAATATTCCAGCAATATCATGGCTGGGGACACCAGAATCGGGCTTCACACATTGTTCCCATGTGGGGAATTGAACCTGGGTCCTCGGTGTGACGAGCGAACAAAGATTAGGAGGAAGAGTTGGAGTCGTGTAGTCCTGATAAACTAGGACTAAGAACTACAATTAGAAGGGGAGAGTATAGTATCATGAACATGGAATGGGTACAGTTGATGTATAATCATGAATTACTATTATCATGAACTAAGAAGACAATGGGTACACTTATATAGTATGTATTATATGCAGCCAGTGTTCACTGATTTACAGCAGTACAATGTGGCAGGCACTTAAACTGTGTATATTCATGGATACACTGCCTCTACCTGGAACACTCAACATGGCAATGTATGTTAGCAAATGCCTCAAAACAGTGTCAGAGTGTAGTGTTTATCATGATGAATGTTTCACTCATAGCGTGAATCTTCTATTCAGGGCACACCCTCCCCACCTGGCCCAGACCCTCCAAATCTGCTCGACCGGCAACTGTCATTCCTGCCGCCAGTCATCTTTGACGCTGCCCCGATTGGCAAGACGTATGGGGATGTGGTTGTTGATGTGCAGCCGGAGTGCAGTCAGGTGGGTGAACCTGCCGGCGTGTTCTCACTCACTATGTCACCTGGCATCAACTGTCTATCACTTGACTAACATGCGTTTACACCTGAAGTCCACAAGGCCAAACTAATTTGGTTTATGTGCAATATTTTTTAAATGTCTAGATGTAGGTTGGAAAGAAAAGGAATTTGTTTTAGTACTCAAGGCAAACAGTCTGTAGGTATGACAATTTTCAATTTCCATTGATTTTATTTCTAAATTGGTTATAAATTGTGTCATTGAACAATCTGACACAATATTAAGTTTTCCGCTGAAAATAGATTTTCCTGTTACCATCCCTGAGTCTAGGATTTTGTAAAAGCAGTAATGCATGGAATCGTTGTCTAGCACATGTCCATATGTTGGGAAGATGCAGAAGCTATTTCTCTGTCTGCATTGTCAGTGTTCTCTTTGTCTAAAGCACAATGTTACAGAGTTACCAGGTATGTGTGTTGTACACTGTAACATGTCTGGAGACCCGTGAAGGTCCGGGTTAGAATATTGATCTTCAGTAACCCATGCTTGTCGTAAGAGGTGACTAACGGGATTGGGTGGTCAGGCTCGTTGACTTGGTTGACACATGTCATCGGTTCCCAATTACGCAGATCGATGCTCATGCTGTTGATCACTGGATTGTCTGGTCCAGATTCGATTATTTACAGACCGCCTGAATTGTCTTTTTTTAGGTTTTTAAGGTTCTAAAAGTCCTCAAAGTGTTTACTGCCATTATTGTTTTGGCACTGGAATCAATAAATACACAATCTGATTGGCTGTTGATAGACAACAAACCAATGACAAGGAAGCTTTCATATCAGTTACAACAATATGTTGAATTAAGAGTAGTCTCACATACTCAAAATGCAAATCATCACGACAATGAATTATGGGTTTGGTAGAAAAACATAAACAGTTAGGCCTTGCCTTTTGGAATTAATTTGTAGTAAGTTCATAGAATTAATACATGATAGTAATAGTTAAATCTTAAAGTCAACTTTATTAGATTTTACTAATATTGTTTTGTGGAAGATTTTTTGCTTGTACAACCTGCACTGAATACATGTATTTCTTTGACAGAACACAACAGTGAAAGTATCCTTCATTAGTGGTGATCCAAGAAATGCTTTGAAGGTAAAACATTGTCACCTTTTTCTTATCAGTGATTGAATTTTGAATTTATATAAAAATAATATATATTTTTTTCTCAAAATTTGCACTTATTTCACACTTTCTATTTCACCTCTACTTAATTCATACTTGTTGAAAATTTCATAATCCCCAAATACTACAAACAAAAAAATACAAGGAGTGTGTCAATTGTGTTGAAAGTGACAAGTATAAACGTAAGTTTAAGATAACTGACCTACAGAGGGAAATACTACGCTGATATCTCATCTAAATAATAATCTATACAACAATTGTACTCTTAAAACAAAAGATTCCACCAGGTTGAGAGTGTAACAATGTGTTTGGTATTCAGAGAGATGAGACTTTCCTGACAGTGGAGAAACAGCTGTCAGTGACAGAGTGGGACGTTGTTTTCACCGACTCCAGCCGACACACCAGGTACATGAGACCAGGCTGTTGCCAGCCCTGGTGATATTGATACCAGTCATTCAGCTTTTTCACCCAATGTTTGATGATTTTAAGAGGGGTAGGGATGTCACCCATTTTGTTCTGGGGTCATCAATTTTGTACACATGTACTAGGGGGCTTATCATTGATTTTGTGCATGACATGCAGGGGGGGGGTGTCACTTACTTTGTACATAATTTTTATTTTTATTTTATTTTTTTTAAAATCATCATCACCCCCATTCTCTTCCCACAGAGGTTACTTGTCATATCTTCCTACGAACCTCTGTTCTAATACGGGCATATTTCCCGGTTCTCGTAAAATCCCTTAGCGGCAAAAAATCGCAGCACGAATTACCTTCCTTCTTTCTATCCAATCAGAACACGTGTTATATCGATGCAAGTAAAAATGGGGCCTCAAATATCCCTCTTCTCTGCCGGGGACTTGTGTTGATGTGACACACAAAACATTTAATGGCAAGCTTGTCAGTTGTCAACAAGGGCGATGGTGAAGCCATTGATTTGCCATTACATGACTGAGTTCTGTCTAGAAGTAACGTTTGCGTATCGCGCAGGGGAAGAGGTTCCAGTTTTTCCGAAGCATACGGAAATTACCGAGTCCTTGCGAATGATCACTTTTGAAACAACGTCGCTGATTGCACAACTAAATCTGATTGCAACCAATCACGAATTCTGAACACTCGCACCATGAAAGGGCCGTATTAGAACAGAGGTTCGTAGGAAGATATGACAAGTAACCTCTGTGGGAAGGGAATGCATCACACCCAAAGTCATAAATTATGAACGGTCCCAGATGCAAATCAGTGTTCTTGTTAAAGTGGAAATAGACTCCAGCAACTTGGCAAACTGAGTTCAAACTCACTTTTTCTGCCACTACAAGTTAACAATTACCTAAAACGCATTCAATAATAAATACAATATCTAAGTTTGACACTCAGCACTGACAGTGTGCCTTGGACTATGAAGTATAGTCTTTCTCTACCACAAACCTACAGACAGTATCCCAGTTTCACACATGGTATTACAGTGTCTATACCTGTCTCAAGAGCTTAGAGCGTAGTTCACTTTACAGATGGTCAAACTGTTCATGACACCACAGGATCTAGACTGTACCACCTGGTGTCAACACAGCACTACACAGGGTCTAGACTACCACCTGGTGTCAACACAGCACTACACAGGGTCTAGACTACCACCTGGTGTCAACACAGCACTACACAGGGTCTAGACTACCATGTGGTGTCAGCACACACCACTACACAGGGTCTGGACTACCACGTGGTGTCAGCACACAGCACTACACAGGGTCTAGACTACCACGTGGTGTCAACACAGCACTACACAGGGTCTAGACTACCATGTGGTGTCAGCATACAGCACTACACAGGGTCTAGACTGTACCACGTGGTGTCAGCACACACTACTACACAGGGTCTAGACTACCATGTGGTGTCAGCACACAACACTACACAGGGTCTGGACTACTATGTGGTGTCAGCACACAGCACTACACAGGGTCTAGACTACCACGTGGTGTCAGCACACAGCACTACACAGGGTCTGACTGTACCACGTGGTGTCAGCACACACTACTACACAGGGTCTAGACTACCACGTGGTGTCAGCACACAACACTACACAGGATCTAGACTACCATGTGGTGTCAGCACACAACACTACACAGGGTCTAGACTGTACCACGTGGTGTCAGCATACAGCACTACACAGGATCTAGACTACCATGTGGTGTCAGCACACACCACTACACAGGGTCTGGACTGTACCACCTGGTGTCAGCACACAGCACTACACAGGATCTAGACTACCATGTGGTGTCAGCACACAACACTACACAGGGTCTAGACTGTACCACGTGGTGTCAGCACACAACACTACACAGGGTCTAGACTGTACCACCTGGTGTCAGCACACAACACTACACAGGATCTAGACTACCATGTGGTGTCAGCACACAACACTACACAGGGTCTAGACTGTACCACGTGGTGTCAGCACACAACACTACACAGGATCTAGACTACCACCTGGTGTCAGCACACAACACTACACAGGGTCTAGACTGTACCACCTGGTGTCAGCACACAACACTACACAGGATCTAGACTACCATGTGGTGTCAGCACACAGCACTACACAGAGTCTGGACTACCACGTTGTGTCAGCACACAACACTACACAGGGTCTGGACTGTACCACCTGGTGTCAGCACACAGCACTACACAGGGTCTGGACTGTACCACCTGGTGTCAGCACACAACACTACACAGGGTCTGGACTGTACCACCTGGTGTCAGCACACAGCACTACACAGGGTTTAGACTACCACGTGGTGTCAGCACACAACACTACACAGGGTCTAGACTGTACCACCTGGTGTCAGCACACAGCACTACACAGGGTTTAGACTACCACGTGGTGTCAGCACACAACACTACACAGGGTCTGGACTGTACCACCTGGTGTCAGCACACAGCACTACACAGGGTTTAGACTACCACGTGGTGTCAGCATACAGCACTACACAGAGTCTGGACTACCACGTTGTGTCAGCACACAACACTACACAGGGTCTGGACTGTACCACCTGGTGTCAGCACACAGCACTACACAGGGTTTAGACTACCACGTGGTGTCAGCACACAACACTACACAGGGTCTAGACTGTACCACCTCGTGTCAGCACACAGCACTACACAGGGTCTGGACTGTACCACCTGGTGTCAGCACACAGCACTACACAGGGTTTAGACTACCACGTGGTGTCAGCACACAACACTACACAGGGTCTAGACTGTACCACCTAGTGTCAGCACACAGCACTACACAGGGTCTAGACTGTACCACCTGGTGTCAGCACACAGCACTACACAGGGTCTAGACTACCACGTGGTGTCAGCATACAGCACTACACAGGGTCTAGACTACCACGTGGTGTCAGCACACAGCACTACACAGGGTCTAGACTGTACCACCTAGTGTCAGCACACACCACTACACAGGGTCTAGACTACCACGTGGTGTCAGCATACAGCACTACACAGGGTCTGGACTGTACCACCTGGTGTCAGCACACAGCACTACACAGGGTTTAGACTACCACGTGGTGTCAGCACACAACACTACACAGGGTCTAGACTGTACCACCTAGTGTCAGCACACAGCACTACACAGGGTCTAGACTGTACCACCTGGTGTCAGCACACACCACTACACAGGGTCTAGACTACCACGTGGTGTCAGCATACAGCACTACACAGGGTCTAGACTACCACGTGGTGTCAGCACACAGCACTACACAGGGTCTAGACTGTACCACCTAGTGTCAGCACACACCACTACACAGGGTCTAGACTACCACGTGGTGTCAGCATACAGCACTACACAGGATCTAGACTGTACCACCTAGTGTCAGCACACAACACTACACAGGGTCTAGACTACCACGTGGTGTCAGCACACAGCACTACACAGGGTCTAGACTGTACCACCTAGTGTCAGCACACACCACTACACAGGGTCTAGACTACCACGCGTGGTGTCAGCATACAGCACTACACAGGATCTAGACTGTACCACCTAGTGTCAGCACACAACACTACACAGGGTCTAGACTACCACGTGGTGTCAGCACACAGCACTACACAGGGTCTAGACTGTACCACCTAGTGTCAGCACACAGCACTACACAGGGTCTAGACTACCACGCGGGGGTGGTGTCAGCATACAGCACTACACAGGATCTAGACTGTACCACCTAGTGTCAGCACACAACACTACACAGGGTCTAGACTACCACGTGGTGTCAGCATACAGCACTACACAGGGTCTAGACTGTACCACCTAGTGTCAGCACACAACACTACACAGGGTCTAGACTACCACGTGGTGTCAGCATACAGCACTACACAGGATCTAGACTGTACCACCTAGTGTCAGCACACAACACTACACAGGGTCTAGGCTGTACCACCTCGTGTCAACACAGCACTACACAGGGTCTAGACTGTACCACCTGGTGTCAGCACACAGCACTACACAGGATCTAGGCTCTATCACCTGGTGTCAACACACCGCTACACGGGGTCTAGACTACCACCTGGTGTCAGCTCTACACAGGGTCTCGATTGTACCACTTGGTGTCAGTACACAGCTTAAAATCAGATCTTGTCTGCTATTACAATAGTGGTACAATTATTTCACAATGGTATCCCAATGGTGTGTTGATCTGTGCTAGAGACACTGTAACAACATGATGTATCTCTGACTTCAGGTTTTACTGGCATCACACAAGTTACATCCTGGGTGAAAGTGAGGCTGAGATAACTTGGGATATTCCAGCCAATCAGGAGCCAGGAACATACCGCATCAGACATTTTGGAGATCACAAGAGCATCCTTGGAACAATAACAGCATTCTCAGGAACATCCAGCTCTTTTCAAGTCAAGGCTCTGTGAACAAGTGATCAGTTCTGTCTTTTTTGTAGATGTGTAAAGTTAGTACATTGCATGAAAAAGGTGTGGTACACAATCATACATGATTTCTTTCTGTTATGAGATTATATTTAACATATAATAGATAATTATGTAACAACAAAAAATATAAACAAAAGAAATAGAATTTCAGATGAAATTCATTAAGATCAGTGATGTCATTAATATGTCATCAATTTATGACTTTGGTATTCTGATAGGTTTTGATGTATAAAGACATTGATCAACAGAATTGATATATTATCATAGACATTACAGATGGTCCACTCATGAATGACGCAAAGTCATTTTTCAATGCGCACAAAGAAATATGTATTTTCAGTCCACAAGATGATATAGATATGTCATAATCAAACCTATATAAGTATATGACATTGTATATGAGCACTGTCAAGCTTCTGGAGCTATTCATGTCAGGTTCAGCAGCAGGTTACCGTTAGGATGCCAGTTAGGACATTGCTCAAGTTCCTGAATGCTGTATTTGACACAAACTAGTGCTGATAACAGCGTTCGAAATACCTGCCTGCCTGACTGCCCGGATGGGTTATTTTCAACACGGACTGCCAGATTCTTAAATTCACCTGCCCAATGTTAGGGTTAAAATTTAGACATGTATATGAAGATATTTTGTGAGCAGGTAACTTTTTGTCAGGGCTGGCAAGTTTTACATCAAACCAGCCCTGTGGTCTGGCTGAAATTTTTGGGAGTTTCATACCCTGCTGATAAGCCAACACAATCAGTCCAAATCTCTTACATTCCTCATTTTTAGTTTTGTCACTTTAATTTATTAATATTCTTGCTGAAGATGCCTTTGAATTGCCTGATGATTTGTGGCATGTAAGCAAATATCTCACTGTGACATGTAAGCAAATATCTCAAAAACTCGTGACCTTCCTATGTTATCTGACCTCGCTTTCGCTCGGCCTCTAGACCAATCAGGTAGCCGGAAAAATATGCTTGCATAATAAATGCTGATATTGATCATCTCTGAATTATGCCAGAGATGAACAAAGACGAGGTAGAGTGTCCATCATTTTTCTGCTTTCTGTCAAGGTGATCTGAAACGTACGCAGGCAACCAGTAGTATATATGTATTTCTCTCAACACCTCCCCAGTTGTAATATGTACATGTGCCTTAGAATGGTTTCATTGTGTCTTGTAACTGATATAAGTTGGCTCCAGTTTTGTGATAATCTTAACATTGCTCATATATTGAGAAAGGGGCTGTGGGGTAGCCTAGTGGTTATACTGTCTGCTTGTCACGCACGGGTCCAATTCCCCACATGGGCACAATGTGTGAAGCCCATTTCTGGTGTTCCCCACCGTGATATTGCTGGAATATTGCTAAAAGCGTCGAAAAACTGAACTCACGCACTCATTCATATTGCAAAATGACCCTTCATAGAGTGAGGGCTAAGCTGTATGAGTCCAGGAGTTTGTAAAAAAAATAAATGCGTTCATTTGCTTATGAACGTCAAAACTCTCATTCAGTGGAAAAGTTCTATATTGTGTGAACATCACATCAAATTATAATATTGAGATACTTGCTGTTAAACTTCTCAGGATTGTACTGCATATGATCTCTGGACCCAGGATCCAGATCTCTGTGTAGGACACACAGTGGCCATTCATATGCAGCAGCTTTTGTGTCAGGCTGTCATATGCTTTCTATTTTCTGAAATCGCTCCTTTTACTATTCTATTTTAGGCCAGACCAATTTTATTTCTTGTTTTATGGATTTTTTTCCTCAGAAAACCTAACGGCAGGAGGGAATGCAGAAAAAAAAATCAAATATTCCTTTTAAATGCTAAAAGTATTTTACTTTTGCAATTTTTTAGGTGTATAAGGGACAATTATTTACATTTTTGGCCAATAAAAGCATTAGGATTGTATTTTTTGAGCAGGGAAAATTTAGTTATTTTTTTCTTATTCTTGAAAAAATACGACCGGTGGATCTGTAAAACAAGAAATAAAATTAATAATAAGGCTTAATTCATGTTCTGAAGAAGAGTACTGTCATTGAAGAAAGTTTATACAGATGTGCCCATGTTCCTGAAGGGTTTTGAACTTCCACCTATATTTTTTACCTTTATTCTATGAGTGTAAACGCATGAATTTTAATTATTTTGTTACTCTACGTATTTTACTGATGTGTTGATGTTTGAATACAATTTGTTGATTTATAATGAATGTTTATTTGAATAAAAAACGTTACACACTCTATCGCCCTGGTTACTACTGTTTCATACTTGAAGATGTAACAAATTTTTCTATACATACCCTGAGTGTTAAAACTGCATCAGTGTAGGGACAGACAAAATGGAGGTTTATATTGGTGTCATGAGAGATTGAATATGTTAGGCTCCATGCAGCCTGACCAAGAATTAGACAATGAAATACTAACATTTGCTAAAAACAATTCATAAAGAGCGTTTGTCAACACAGTGATTCAAAGACAGATACTAGACTTGCCCATTGAAGATTGTTGACTGCTTGCAAGGCTTTATACACAAGACAAGGCCTAACCTCACTATTTTCTTGCCTCACACTGTGCTTGCTAAATTTAGACCCCACCCTTATTTGAGAAAGTAGGGTATTCAGATCTCGATCTCTCTCGAGGTAAGGGATGGGTTCTCTTTATCTGCTAACTCTGTATGACACTATTTACATTTTATTAGAAATTTACTCGATAATGTAAATAATAATACTTATCCCCAGCACACTGTACAAAGCCTTGTAGGGCGCCTTCCTCCCTTTCCCCGTGGTGGAACAGGAGGCGGGTGAGTCCTGGTGAACATTGAAGCCTGAAATAATATATTGAAGCAGTAGAGAAATATACTGAGTACAGTATTTAAATGTACACATGTATCTACAGCGTGATTATCAATTTATGACAAAAATGACCAGTAAGTGAATATTTACCGTCATGTGAGTTACTGTCATCAAATCATCATATCACTGATGATATCAGACACTGGACCTTAGCAAATCTAGCCTTGCTTCATTTAGGGCTTATTGAAAAAATGATGTGGGCAGCAGACTAATTCTGTCTGGTATGACAGGTATCACCCATGGTGAAATCCTCAGTGATGTTGAATACAGTGTCATCAGTGGATGGTTGCAGCTTCGGAGTTTACTTGTAATACCATGACTTTGTCACTGTGGACAATTTGTAATACAAACCAGAATTAATGTAAGCAAAACATTACATAGGCGGATCCAGAGGTGTGTGTGTGTGCGTGTGCAGGCGTGCGCACACACACCCTTTTGTCCTGAAAGTTTATCAAATGGCTGTTAAAATGAAGTGTGCGCGCACACGCACACACACACACACACACACACACACACCCTTCTCAAGAGTGTGCAAACCCTCCCCTTTCTCAAAAAGCTGTATCCGCCCCCTGCATTAGATATTATAAAGAACACTGTCAAGAATCAGATACCGGACTTGTTGATAAACTGAGAGGAATATTTATTCCTCTTATATCTACTCTTTACCCAAAACTCTGATGGGTTTGATTCAGTGCTGATAACATGGTGCATTTGATAATGTACGGAGTCAGTGCTTGTTCCATGAATTAAGCACCAGTTCTCAATTGGATACATTAATGGGACGAAAGTACAATCGTACATCCTAAATTATTTTAAAAAATTAAATGATAGTTCTGAGAGCAGGATTGGAGCACACGTATATGCTAGAATATGTATAGTACACCTTGAATTGCCACTGCTGCTGTTCCCTATCCGTATATAGTATATGAACGAGGGGGGTAAACATGTTTACGCCACAAGGACAATATTTTGAAAAGCCTTATAATGCGGTCCGTAATACTGAAACCTTGACAAGGCAACCCAGCGGCATGAATCGCACTGTAAAAAAATGTTGTCAATTTGACAACTAAAAAGTTGTAGTCGATGGCTTTTCGCCTGTTACTGATACCGTTGTTCACTCCAGAGTATCTTGCATTTTACAAGACAGGTTAGATTCAAGTAAAATCAATGTTGTGAATGATGGCGGTGTAAATATGTGACGATGTGTTAAAGGCAGTTAAGTGAAGCTGAAATGTCTGAAATATCGAGTAACATCGTCAGTTGATTTCTTGAATCAATGTTAAACCGGCCATTGAAGAGTTAGTGGAGATGTGGTAACATATGGGAAAACATCTTAACGTTAACTGTAAGCGTCCACCCGGAGAGCGGAAGGTCGCGGGTTCGATCCCCGACCGCGTCATACCAAAAGACGTTAAAATATGGTACTTGTTGGTCCCTGCCTGGCGCTCGGCATTATGGGTACAACAAGGACTGGTCGGCTCGGAGTCAGTATAATGTGTCTGAGTGGGGTATTCATGCTTCACTGCGGCATGGTATCTCGGTGGGCTAGCACTATAAAACCAGCTTAAGTCTGGGCTAGTACAAGCAGCCGCACATACACATACACACGCATGCACGTCGTCATATGAGCGAAATATTCTCAAGTACGACGTTAAACCCAATTTCACCTCACCTCACCTCACCTCACCTCACCTCACCTCACCTCACCTCACCTCACCTAACGTTAACTTTAACAAAGGACAGGGTTTTTAAGCGAGAGAACCCGAATGACTGGATCATGAATGTCAGACGAGAGGAACTTCTGTCGTCAATCAATTAAAGCTTGAATACAATCAGTCTGAGAGAATCTCAAATACTTCCATCTATTGTGCAAATAGAATGAGATCACTGACAAGGTTGGTACAGCTGTTGCAGATTGAGAGTGTGAGGGATGACACAGAACCGCTATGAGAAGATAAATATCAGGTAATTGATGTGTTTGCTTGTTATAATGATACACTAAACCCGACTCGTGTGACAGCACTGTTTGCTTGTTATAATGATACACTAAACCCGACTTGTGTGATAGCACTGTTTGCTTGTTATAATGATACACTAAACCCGACTTGTGTGATAGCACTGTTTGCTTGTTATAATGATACACTAAACCCGACTTGTGTGATAGCACTGTTTGCTTGTTATAATGATACACTAAACCCGACTTGTGTGACAGCACTGTTTGCTTGTTATAATGATACACTAAACCCGACTTGTGTGTGATAGCACTGTTTGCTTGTTATAATGATACACTAAACCCGACTTGTGTGACAGCACTGTTTGCTTGTTATAATGATACACTAAACCCGACTTGTGTGACAGCCCTGTTTGCTTGTTATAATGATACACTAAACCCGACTTGTGTGACAGCCCTGTTTGTTTGTTATAATGATACACTGTTTGCTTGTTAAACCCGACTTGTTGTGACAGCACTGTTTGTTTGTTATAATGATACACTAAACCCGACTTGTGTGACAGCACTGTTTGCTTTGTTATAATGATACACTAAACCCGACTTGTTTGCACTGTTTGTTTGTTATAATGATACACTAAACCCGACACTTTTGTTTGTTATAATGATACACTAAACCCGACTTGTGTGACAGCACTGTTTGTTATAATGATACACTAAACCCGACTTGTGTGACAGCACTGTTTGTTTGTTATAATGATACACTAAACCCGACTTGTGTGACAGCACTGTTTGTTTGTTATAATGATACACTAAACCCGACTTGTGTGACAGCACTGTTTGCTTGTTATAATGATACACTAAACCCGACTTGTGTGACAGCACTGTTTGTTTGTTATAATGATACACTAAACCCGACTTGTGTGACAGCACTGTTTGTTTGTTATAATGATACACTAAACCCGACTTGTGTGACAGCACTGTTTGTTTGTTATAATGATACACTAAACCCGACTTGTGTGACAGCACTGTTTGTTTGTTATAATGATACACTAAACCCGACTTGTGTGACAGCACTGTTTGTTTGTTATAATGATACACTAAACCCGACTTGTGTGACAGCCCTGTTTGTTTGTTATAATGATACACTAAACCCGACTTGTGTGACAGCGTTTGTTTGTTACTAAACCCGACTTGTGTGACAGCACTGTTTGTTTGTTATAATGATACACTAAACCCGACTTGTGTGACAGCACTGTTTGTTTGTTATAATGATACACTAAACCCGACTTGTGTGATAGCCACTGTTTGTTTGTTATAATGATACACTAAACCCGACTTGTGTGACAGCACTGTTTGTTTGTTATAATGATACACTAAACCCTGTTTGTTTGTTATAATAATGATACACTGACTTGTGTGACAGCCCTGTTTGTTTGTTATAATGATACACTAAACCCGACTTGTGTGACAGCACTGTTTGTTTGTTATAATGATACACTAAACCCGACTTGTGTGACAGCACTGTTTGTTTGTTATAATGATACACTAAACCCGACTTGTGTGACAGCACTGTTTGTTTGTTATAATGATACACTAAACCCGACTTGTGTGACAGCACTGTTTGTTTGTTATAATGATACACTAAACCCGACTTGTGTGACAGCACTGTTTGTTTGTTATAATGATACACTAAACCCGACTTGTGTGACAGCACTGTTCGTTTGTTATAATGATACACTAAACCCGACTTGTGTGACAGCACTGTTTGCTTGTTATAATGATACACTAAACCCGACTTGTGTGACAGCCCTGTTTGTTTGTTATAATGATACACTAAACCCGACTCGTGTGACAGCACTGTTTGTTTGTTATAATGATACACTAAACCCGACTTGTGTGACAGCACTGTTCGCTTGTTATAATGATACACTAAACCCGACTTGTTTGTTTGTTATAATGATACACTAAACCCGACTTGTGTGACAGCACTGTTC